GTCAAGTGAAATGAGATGCCAATCAAAGTCAGTGAGAGGAAAAAGGTCGAAGGCAAATGAATTGAAATATTAGATTTGTCGAGAAATGAAATTCATTTTCTATTACGTCACAGGAAGGTCGTATGAGTGCGGTCCATGCAAGATCCACAAATTTCCAAAGTCTCTTCTCTTTTTCACAAATAAGAAAGCTGCATGTTGAAAGCCCTCTAAGCAGCTCTTTGAAAAGAAAAGCCTTACAACTCCACATATTTCAGTCAGAAGTGTGCAATTGAAGAGATTCGGAAATTTTCAAGGAAATGTTTCAAGTATAGTGATTTCCTTCGAGAATCTGGAAGAAATTTTGAAGAATATTTTCTAGCTTCTTACAAAAAGTGATGAAATTACAGCGGTTTGAACAAAACTCAAATGAGGGAGTATATTCTATTTCTACACATCAAACGGGAAAGGAAAAAATTCCTAGAACCTTTCGTACTATTCTTCTTTGAAAAGGTTCCATGAATAAACAAGTCTACACAAAAAAAATAACAACGGTCCGCACTCTAAATTCATAAGAAAATTACAAATGGAAAAGATATCTCCTGAAAATCGTGCTCTACGTTTTCCAAGATGTTGAATTGCCTAGATGAAAACGGAAAAATATCCTATCTCCTAATTGACCACACCCAAAACTGGATCGAAAAGGAAAAATCATTTAGACCAGCAAGTCAAGGAACCACATTCTATGGAGTTTGAAATTGTTTTCCTGAGATTTTTTGAATACGAAAATGGTGTGATTCAAAACACCTTTTTCTTTTGTATTTCTTTTCTTCTGAGCTTTGGAGCATCATCGAGTATAATAAACAAACAGTCAGTTGATTATACGTACGAATAGAAAATGAAGCTCAAAAAACTTTGAATAAAAATTCCAATATGAAAATGCCAGAAATTTCTGAATTGACTAGATTACAGGTTAGTCACATCGTGGACGGTCGTAGAACGCAAAACACGAACTGAATCAGCCAAAGCGATCAGCCACGACCTTCACAAAACGCATTTCGCCGTTATGTTTACTGCGTGGGGAGCATTTTTTTACGACTCCCTGGACAGCTATGAGTATGAACTGCTTGAGAAAAATAGCCATACTTGAAGAAAGAAGGCCGTCATCACGCAACCATGAAGACAGGCGGGTTGCCTAAGGCTTGAGATATACTTGACGATGGGTCGCTATAGCTGACGATAAGACGCTGCCAGCAGCAACACCTTTTATGCGTATCGATTGACGCCATGCAACGCTGCTGCTTCTGGCTGCTGCAGCGAACGCGATACAGACCCGCTATAGCTGGTGATGCTGCGCTGCTCTGCGCTGCTGCTTGCTGCTCGTAGCTGCTCCTCGCTGCTACGCGATATGAAGCTCACTTTTGGTGAGCTTCTCTCAGCTGCTTCACGCTGCTAGCGCTGATTTTGCTCGGATTTGCCCGTTTTTAACATCCTTTTGAACTTCTGAAGGATTTTTGGAGCGCTTGTTGCGTTACTGAACTGTGACAAATTTGCAAGACCAAAACGCAAATGCTTCGATAGGAAAATTAACAGAGAATTGACAAAGTGAACAATAAATATGAAATAAATAAATATGAAAACCGCACAAAACTTTTGCGAAGAATCAAATTAGATTAATAAAAAATTAGAAAATTTACGATTTAGTGGGATGTTACCAGTACACCTCAATACATTAATGGCAGCTATGACCTAGGTCGTTCGGTTTTTGCCTCAAGCACAAATCAAGATTCTATTGCGACACCGCTTAAATAATGGTAATGATTATTTTCTCAGTACTAGTGCAACATTTGGTTTGCAACTGTATGCTTCTCAAAAAGATTTGTTGATGAGAAGAGGATGATTTTTTTGGAACATGTAATCATATTCTTCAGTTTTTGATAGTTCTCAAAACTTACTTTCCTAATGGGCTAAGCTAAGCGTAGTAATGGGTAAAGCTACTCGTTCTTGCACCCAAAGCGTACCCAGCGCAGCAGCCACGAGCAGCTAAAGGCAGCGCAGACATCAGCGATTCGCCAACACCCGCTATAGCTCTATCGTCAGGTATATCTCAAGCCTAAGCGTGACCAAGAACGACTGGATTTGGGGCGAAAGAATGAATGACCTACCGGTTCTTGGAAAGAAGAAGGAGTGCGGAACGTTGAAGAAGACGATGAATGTGTTCGACGAAGCTTATCGGACACGCCTTTGTCCGAATATGGGATGAGAAATGAAGAAAAATAACTTGGAAAGAGGGAGAGCCTAATCCCTAGTTGGGAACCCCGAAAGAAGAGGAATGGAAGTAAACGGATCGATCGATTAATGCGCAATGACGAGGTGACGAGGACATCGGACAGCCGATGGCGTACAATGACCACCTCAAACTCGTCCACGAGTAAGAGTTATTGACCCGGTCGTCGTGACGTCAAAGTGCCCATTAGGCCTCCCCCTCTCTGCGCGGAAGTTTAAAAGGTTCGAATAATTTTCGAACCGGATCTTTGTTGATTTTAACTAAGTGTGTTTCGTGCAAAACCTTCACATGTTTTACAAGCAACTGCAAAGGTAAAAAAAATTGAAACTTGTTCTAAAAAGTATAAAATTGTCGTCAGGTGTTTGAGGTTCTAATGTCTTGATTCGAGAACTGAATGATTGACAGATTTTTTGCGATTTTCATGAAGAATAATAAGGTGTTCGTATCCGATTGAGAGAAAAATTTAAAAAAAAAACTCAAAACACTCCGCACTCCCCCTCGAGATAATTTTTAGAATTTTTCACTTTCACAGGTAGAGAAGAAAATGATTTTGAAACTTATTTGGCTGCTCCTCATTCAAAGTATCTTTGAAATAACTTAAAAGGGATGTACAGTGGGTCAAAATCGTTGTGCTCCCCACTCAAAATAATTTCTGAGAAATTCACTATTTTTCCAGACACTTCAAGCAAATTTTCAAAAATTTCCAAGAAATTTGACTTTTGAGCTATTCCAGGGAGAAATTTTTGAACTTATATTCAAGAAATTTCTTCCCTTTTTTCCAAAAATTCTAAAGAATGAAATAGTTTTAAAATGTTTTTTGAGCTATTCATTGTTCCGATGAATTTAATTTCACAACTCGTTATCATTAAGATTGATCAGTGGTATCCCTGAAACTTTTTCGAGAGGAAGAAAACAGCGTAAACTAGTTCAGTGGAATTGATGTTGGCTAGGCTCGAGTTAGTTCTCTTTAATAAAATACATAAAAAATCAAGTGCCTGCAAATCAACAATTCAAGTTCCTAAATAACTTTATTGATTATGCAACACTTTTAAGTTAAAACGCCATTTAGTGGGGAAGCGCCATGATGCAAGAAAATGAATATGAATGGCTGCTTGGCTGCCTATGCAAACAAGTTTTTTTTTGGGGGGAGGGGGGGGGGGGGGGGAGGGAAATGGCAGTAAAGCTCCTGATTCGCTAAATCAAACTTACTTGCAAGTTTTCATTACTAGGCAAAGTTCTTTTTTTATCGAGATAGTTAGACATTTTTTCCATAAAGTTGAAGATGATGCATGAGATTTCTTGAAGTAAAATATGACTTGATACCAGCTACGAAGCGTTGTAGGTTTTTTATTTCAATTAGAGATTTGAACATGCGAAAAGGGAATTTTCATAATGGACCAGCTAGCAATTACTTAACTCCAAGCTTTATTTTTCATTGCAATGATGAGCACTCGGGTTAAACAAGAGTTCTTTTTGAATTAAGAGGGCCACCACCCGAGAGAAGATAAAGATTCGGGTTCTATAACTGATAATTTTCTCAAATGACTGTACAATCTGCACATTTGTATTTGAACTTTCTGTATGTTGTTCTAGTGCTCTTTGTTTTGGTTTATGACTTGCGAAAGCAAAAGCTAAGATAAACAGATTAGATGTTACTTTAATAGCCCTTTTTTCAGGAAACCGTTTTGAAATTTGATGGTCTGATGTTTAGTCCTGTGCTATACACTTCCTGTGTGCGAAAAAAGAGGAAACTCGTGAAAGAATACAAATCCATAAAACCATATTCAGAAACAGCATAGGCACTAAAGACAGCTAGTGTAGTGAGCAATCACACTATTATGTTAATTGAAATTGATGCAGTTTCTTCAACGGCAATTCACTGTAATTTGTGCTGTTCCTTAATTGCTTGCTTTTTTCATTAAATTTTTGCCCCAAGCCCACAGAAGAGAATGCGTGTGTTGTGCAACTGCACACATCAGAAAAGTGAAGTATAAGTGTCATAAAGTGTAAGCGACAAGCTAGATGAAAATCAAGACCTCTCAACTAGAGAACATGTATGCAAACTAACTGCTTCGAAGTGACGACAAACATCATACGACGGATGGCGTCGTGCGATAGAAAAAGTAACTTAAACCTACTTGAATGTACTTAACTGTCAAAGCCTCTCAAGTTCATATTCATTTGAAAGAAAGTCTTTTGTCAAGAACACACAACTATAAAACTTTCGCAGGAGCTTTCTCGTCTACACCAGAATATTTAGCTTCGTGTAATCCGGATTGTTTGAGAGGGCGTATTTAGCGAATTCTAGCGTACTTGGTTGATATCAGCTGACGAGCCTATAGGGACTGAGTTAACGCACTAGCTTACCTGATTTCGCTATAGTTCGTTTTTTCGTAATTTCATATTAGGGGTGGGTAAGGTGTTAACTAACATTATTTTGTGGCAGGTGTTATACTGCTACTTTAATTCTTTCATTTTGACGCAGCTTCGAGTGTAAGAAATATAAAAAAGAGAACTATTCATGACATGGTTCTATTTAACATTGTTACGTTCCAAGTTTTCCAATAGTACTCAGCCAGAAAAGAACGGTTCTTCCAAATTTTATTCTGCTCTAGATTTATCCAAAAAAAAACTTCAACACAAACGTTAATCTCACGCCGATAACAAAAAAAAAGATTTGAAACAGACAGATGTGGAAATTGTGATAATAGAGCGGCCTTAACGAATTCCGACGAAAATGGGCTACAATCGCACAGATCCGGTTCCGAACGCTCCCATGCTATCAGACGAACAGGATCTGTTGGACATGCGCCCCTCGTCATTTCCACCCACAGCATCACATCATCTGCTCGCGTTTGTGAATGGGGCAAATCAAAACTTTGCGGGAGGGGGTAAAAAATGCTACGAAGTTTGAGGCATTTGAAAGATGTTCTGAAAGTGGTGAGTGCTGATTGTAGCGAAAGAGGAAAAAATAAGATCAATGGAAAGTTTCGCCGATAATCTCCTCAAATATGTACTTAAGTCACGAAAATGTTCCTTTTCGTACTTTTCAAGCATAAAATAAGCTTTCTCAAAGAGTAAACGCTTAAAAGGACCTTTATGATTTGCACTTCCAATTATGTAGCATACGATCATCCAGACCAGGGCCTGGTATAATTAGATTTCTAGAGCTTCCCAACGAAGTCTCCCTCTCCATGGCTTCCGAAGATTTTAACGAAGTCCCCTTTGACCCTTATCGGAAACCCATCGACTTAGAAGAAGACAAGAAAAAACGCTGTCTAAAAAGAAAAACGTGAGATATGGGCGCAAATTCAAATTGGAGCTGAATATTACGCAGCACAAGGTTTTGGCACTGTAGCGCGATATCCAACAAAGCAATTCATGTAGAAATTAAGGCGAAAAGTACAGAAAAGACGATGATATGAGAATGTCTTCATGCTTTGGGACGAACTCTTGACCGACTAATCCGTCCATAGTAAAAAAAAATCCAAAACTGTGAATTTCCAGAAGTATATGCTTCATACGATCTCAGACCGTAAGGTGGCTGTCTGAAAAGGGACTAAAGAAAAGGTATTATTCAACATAAGTATTCATAATATTCAGTATTTTCTTAACAAAATTCTTCCGTAGTCAATATTCTACGCTCACAGCCCAGATATGGTGTCATATGCTTGATTCCACTCTGTAAACAAGCAATTTGTTAATTTTGGCTTTGCTTTCAAATTGCGCGCGGTTTTCGCAGGAGGAGCACGTCCATTGTGTAATAACCCGCCTTTAAAACTTGTGCCTGATTGAGTAGTCGCTCGAAAATAGAACGTACGAAACTGCACAATATCGGGGTGTATCGCAAAAAATGATTTTGGTACAAAAAAGGAGAACAAGTGAAAGTAGTAAGTGTTGTAAGTCTTGTTGTAAGTAGAATCATGTTCGCGATTACACATTGACAATGCTTGACACACACGGCCAAAGCTTGATCTTCTTTATAATCGCTTTCTTCTTTTTTTGCATTGTTTAGGCTTATATTTAAAGCCCCTTAAACTATAATTCATTCATTTACTTGATTTATGTTCTAACCATTTCAATTCTTCATGAGTTTTCTGTCAAAATCGTAGTTTTGTTTTGTCCATTTATTTGCGAGGCGATATCCTAATCGATTTTTTTGGTAGTCCCGCTATCAAAGATTGGCCTGCGATGCAGAAATAATCGTCACTAGCCGGTCTCAAAGTAGGTCCATGCGGTCTGAATCGCAATCAACTACCTATTTCACCAAACCTGCACAAGTGGTGTAGGTGCAACCTGCATAAGTGTTGTAGCTGCCTGAGAGCACGCAAGATTTTTAGTCTAGGAATCGATCCTCATTGATAGCTCACTGGATGTTGGACTGAGGCGCCGTAAGTTCAATTCAGCTTCGCCCACAAAGCTGCGCTAAAGCTTTAACTATGAGCTCCACTCAAAAAGAAGCAGTGAGAATTTTATCAAAATCATGAGACAGCCCACAATTACCAATACAAATCAAACTAACATTGCAGTGCAGATTACAAAATGAGACACAAATGGTACTGCCTCATAGCTTGAAAACATGTTTTAAACCTAGGATTTTTGTTTTTTCTCAATGCGGCCCACCCCACTATTCAAACAAATTTCCGTAAACAAGCGAAAATCTCCGAAGTTTTGATGACGGCTAGGAGGATGGATCCCGTCATTTTGAGTCGCTTCCGCACAAGGGTTCCTTTGCGATGCGGCTGCATGTCGTTTGAGAACCACTAGTCCGCGTGGGCGGTTCAAAATGGCAATTCGTCCCCTACCTCCCTCCTCCCTTCCCCCACGAGAACAAGGTTTACTATTGAGCACGTGAGCCACGGACGGAAAGTCCTGAAAGAAGTGCTTAATTGCCCGAGGACTTGTGCTAAGTGGAAAAGTTCCCGCGAACTATAATCGATAAGAAGTCCACGAAAACGCTGACGTGCTAACCGACAGATCGGTGCGGGAGCACCCTTGAGGACACAAGCGCGAGGAAGCGGATGTTGAAATACGCGACGCCGCAGTTTAAAATCTTCAAGTTAATGACTTCTTGTTATGCTTCATTACATTTTTTTCTTTCAGGAATAGGAACAGCGGGTAGAAGAAAGCAACGTACAAACAACACGGACGCCTACTTTCGTTTGTCTAGGAGTAAGAATGCTATTATATGAAAATTCATGCAGGAGGCATTATGGCTTAGCACGTGAAGGCTGCTGAACGACCGTAAAAAACCATAAAAAAGCTCTTGCCTAGCCATCTTTTCTTCGCAAGAACTTGATTCAGTGCAGGCTTTCCTCCTGCTTCGGTACCGACCAGAAGAAAGGGGGTCCTTTACAGAGTGGAAAACATCAGAAGGTAGAGCTGACTTGTTAAAATATTCCACTACGTACTTCCATTTACAGATGTACTTATACCACATCAAAAGCGTGACTGCAGAGAGAGTATCAGGATCGCTTGCCTACGCATACGACCGCATCTTGAAGGTGCTTATGCTTCCCGAAACAAAGTTGGGTGAGGCTATTGTCACGCTTTCTCAATTCCCACTTTTCTGAAATGCTGCTGATACAGCTTGATTTTTTGAAGTGAATTAATATTACAAATGTTGTTAAACCACCAGTTACTTTAGATATAAGATTGTGCTAAGGAAATGGGCTTAAGAAGCGCATTTCTTGTTTATTACTGCAGCACTGCTGTGCATGCTGTGCATCTTATCTTGAGAAAGGTAGCAGTAGAGAACGCGGTAAAGGGTGAGAGTTGGTGTGCAAACTTGAGTGGTCGTGAGTCGTTCACTCAGTTTTTTTTCCAAAGAGCTAATTTTTGTGAGTTAAGTGAACATAGTTCCCCTGCACCTCATGTAATCTAAAAATAATCATCACTTATAATAAAGCGCTAAGCGTGTCTTTTTGTGCGGGTGTTTATGTCACGAAACTCATAGAGGCAGCTGCAGCCAAACTATGCCTTGGATGCCTTGGTCTAAATCACGCTGAACTGTATGTATCGAGGCTGCACTTACTCAAAGAATCCATAAAATATACATGATTCATGACACTTAAAACTGGGCACTGTTGCGTTCGGCCAGGATAGTTGGCGCATAAGAGAGACAGCAGATGGTCAGAGAAATGAAAGAGCGCTCGATTAAAGTCTCCGGTATGTTCACAGTCTTTGCGTGCTACGAATCGCCTATAGGTGTTTTTATGTCTAGAAGGAAATTCTAGTTTTGTAACTTTTTATTCACTTTCTGGCTGCTGTTAGCTAAAAACGAGGAAGGCTGTGAGAAGACGTTCACACTGCTAAAAGGAAGTTAAGATGGAATGTAGAACAATGCGTTGCTGCAGCGCTATAAGTCTGACACTCTACCTTAATTCATCGTAAGACGAGCTTTTACTTCTAGGCAAGTGTGCGTTGCTAGCTCCCGCACAGTGGTCATCTTGTTTCTCCGAATGTAGTTAAGAATTGCTTTTTCCAAATTATACTCACCGTTGGTCACCAACACGAAGGAATTACACGAAATGAAATGCGTCTTTTTGATCGAGTACTCTTTCGTTTCTCTTACCATCTGCTGTCTCTCCCAAGCACGAACTACCTTGACCAGCGCAACGGCGCCCAGTCTTTCAGTGTCATGAATTGCGTATAGATGAAGAAAATAGGATCTTTAATTTAAAATTTTTTGAACAACAACCTGACGTACGGGGCAGGTATTCCTATATATCAGCTGATGCTCAAACTGAAAATGTTCTTAAAATGTCCATTTTGAACCACGATAGCTATGCGAACAAATTTCAGCAAACTCTCAGTTCAGATTCACAAGTCAGTAGGAGCGCAACCAAGATGCAAAGCGATGAAATTAAATCACTTGTAAAATAATTTTTTTTTGCTTTCGTAAGATGTCTATCTGATTTGGAAGATCGAAAGATATCTATGCGACGAATATAACAGTGCTAACGTGGGTTTAAGTCAAAGACGCCTACAAAAGTAAAAGGTGCCTCCATGCCAATCGTAACGACTTGCGGATCTGTCCACACAAAAATTTGACTCACCCGATGAAACAAGGAAATGTTCGTTATCAAAGGGACCAGCTCTATGGCATTATCTAAATCAAGAACACGCGAGAAGTGGACCATTTGCCTACTGTTCGCTTGTTCTTGGTTCAGCTAATCTCGATTGCTTGTTTTCATACATTTAACAGATTGGAAAGTTCAAAGGTAGTTCAGGCAGTGACCTTCAAACAGCCCTGAACTGTGCAGATGAGGAAGGAGGAAGTTAAGGTTAAAGTAAAAATTATCAGCAGAATTAGCACAAAACTTACCAGCGAGAAAAGAGAAACAATGCATAAAAAAGCAATGCCATTAAGCGAGCATCATATTTGGTCGAGAAACCAGCTTGCTCGTTCGAAGCAATAACTTCGTTTGATAGCAATACGAATAAGATCCAACAATCAAATACGGTGATTTGGTGAGAGAATACCCTATGTGTGCTTCAGAATGGAACCGATAAATGCTGAGCAAAATAGGGACCGCTAAAGTCTAGGTGTACTTCTGAAAGAACTGTGTGTCCTTTCATTGTTATTGTTTATTGAGCCTACATTTCAAAGTGAAAACAATGGAAATGGAAAATGAAAACTTTGTTGTACTTGTGGACACTAGAATGAGCTGAACTTACAACAATGTATAAATGCAAAGTACATGAAAGCGTCAAATTGATTCGCTGCAAGCAAAATCCGAGACTAAGGTAAAGAGGGAGGGGGAGCATATGATAGACGGGTAGTGGAACGCATTTGCTATTTGTAATCTCTTGGATTGCAAGGTTCAGCAACCTACCAATCTTGAAAAAGAGGCTTGACCTTACAGCACAGGTATTCGAAGAGATGGGAAAAGGGGAGGGGATGAGCGGAAGAGTCTCGTGGGAGTGAGAGCTGAGAAGAAAGCCAAACCTGGCCACGTGAACGACCGAGAAGATTATTGAGAGCGCATTATAAATAGTCCTGTTGGAGGGTCATACTAAAGGCTTCTCCCCAGTGTCAAGTTATTATTCGTAGCTTCTTGTTTATTGTTGGCAACAATGCCGTGCTATTGTTTGTGATCGTTTTGTGGTCAGGGTAAACGTTGTTCTACTACTCTGTGTGCAATGTAATTCAGCTATTAGGCTGAAACCAACATACCAGTAGACAGTAGACCCTCCCTTTCACAAATTCACTATAACTAGACTTTTCTCCGTGACTTCTCAATTTTTCTATTAGGTTGTAAGGAAAGTTCCGGGGCACTTTTGAGAAAAAAACTCATCAAACGCATTTTTTGGCGTTCGGTCGGACTTTGACACCAAATGTGTATAGTGTTCAGTAGAGCGATGCGTAAACTTTTCAATGCGCTTCTGATTTCTATCGATGCCAAGACGTTTGACGTGCACATCAAAAAACCATAATTTTTTTCCTGCGTCCATTCTTCTGTGCAGTTCAAAGAATTTCGTCCAAACCATGAATGATCTGATTGAGGAACCTGTTAACTTTTGACCCGCAGCTGCATTCGAGTTTTGCGATTTGTGCTCAAAAATTACAAGCTGTCAAACTTGCCTCTGACTGCAACTCTTTTCGCAGCTGACGGCACTTCTGCAGGGATCGGAGCGCCTGGGTGATGGGTCCAAAAGATGTGTAAGACATTACCCCAACGATGTTGGCAGAAATTGAAGATTTGGTCCTTTCTGTGCAGAACGAGAAGACTCCAAGCTCACTTGGAAAATTAGTGCATTTCTGAGGGCAAAAAATGTTCGAATTTTCAAAGTTTCTAGAAAAACTTTTTCTGCAGGTGGTCGCACAAAGACTTAAATAGCCTACATAAAAGCCCCAGCAGACTTCTACATAATTACAGCATCTGAGCTCTCTAGCTCTTACCATGCTGAGATAATCCTGCACACATAGGCTACTTTTTACGACGACCTTTCTTCCTCCTGCGCACGCTAGTGGACCGCTATGAGGTGCTGAAAAGCCAGCACGACAAATATGTGTTGTAGACGAAATTTTTGCAATGAAAAAATATCAACTTAAAACAGAATTATTGCGTTTTATTGCATTTCTCAGGCTGCAAAGAAGGTTTTCCCAAAATTCAGGACTGTATTTCTCACTTAAGGCCTTTTTAGAGTACGATAGAGTTTCAGAAGTTCATGAAAGCTGTTGGACTTCAATAAAAACGAGAAACAGCGCTTGAATCTTGTGCTGAGAGTCGCGCAGTCGCGCCTATCTCGTTGATAAGTGATTTTCCACGCTTGGTACGTTGTCGGTGCTCCTCGTCGCGTCATGACGATCAGAATGATAAATAATGTTGCAGAGTTTTATTAAGACCCCGCGGAGATCTGCGACCAGAGCCAGATGCCCTGTCGGCTCTGGTCTGTCTCCGCGCGTTGCGCGCTACCTTGCTACCGCGAACGCGGGCCACGGGACATTTGGCTCTGGTACCCCTTGCTTCGTTGTTTCGAACCCAATTCTAGCAAGCTATATATCGTGTTAAATCTCTTGATCTTTACTTTTACGCTACAAAGGAATCGCATTTTTTGATTCAAATGAGAAATCCAGCAGAAACTGTGTCTTCGGAAATCTCTTGTTTTTTACCTAGTTTAACTTTTTTTTCAGGCGATTTTGCTCCTGTCCATTACGTAGGCAACGACCCACCGCTAATTCTTCGATTATGGCGGTTTTTGTGAAAAATCGTAACAAGTGCGCTTTTCTTTACCTTGTTCCTTTCCAGCTGGTCGATTATTACTCAGTAATGAGTGCAACAATTCAGACAACGTCCCAGAAAACAGGAATGTGAGAACGGGATAAAATTCTAAATGACGCATAAAAAATTAGATTTGGTTTGACGTGCATTTCAAGTTAGTGAAAAAGAAACCTTGCGTTTTCATAGGTAATTCTTTTCTTTCATCTTCTTCTTGACACCATTTTCGAAATATGGTTGTTTTGTAACAGTCACATGAAGAAAATAAGCTCTTCCTCGTTTTCCCCGTGTTGTGTGGATTGCCTGGTCCTGGAGAGAAAACCTGCACTTCGAAATGCCGCCAAAGAAAGATTTCAAACTTACTGCAGCATGGGTAGAGGACTATGTCGCCGAAAAAGGGCGGTCCCCGGGGTCATTTGCGACAAATACGCACCCTTGTACATGCGCGGACAAGCGTTCCTGCAGGGAATCCGCGCGGGACTCTTCAAAATTCGGCGACATATAGTCCTCCACCCCTGCAGCATTTTTATCCGGTTTCCAAGAGTCTTTTGCTTTTGTAAGCTGTTTTGCATTTTTTTTCTTTGCTGAGTTTCTATAAACAATCTTCACTTTTTGTAGGAGCAGATATTCAAACAACCTTTACTTTTGACGCCCTGTCTTTAGACTATCAAAGGTATGCCAACTTCAACTGTGCAATAATCGACAGCGCAAACCGCTAAACCGTTCAACACCATTAGCACTTATCGAAATTACTAGTACTCTTGCAAACACGTTAGATGCGGGGATACACGGTCCAAGGATCGTTCTGCGATAACAAACACACTTCTGAAATCTGCGCTTCAAGGCAAATGTCATGACGTATGTCACGTATCGGAAGGCCGCTGTCACCAAGTATTCTTTCACCCTAAAATTAGCTTTCGACTTTATGAGAAAAATGACGTTCTCCAAAAAAAGTTTACTACGGGTTCAATCTAGATTGACTTTGTAAGCTTATTTTGTATGCAAAAGATGATGCAGTGCTTGCTCAATTTCATACATAGCGCCTAATAATATTAGGTTGATTCATAATTAATGCACGTTTTTCTTACCTCTTCTTCCAAGAGCTAGTATTTGATGTGTTACCAATTTCCCCAAAAACTTTTTACGCCCTCTAAAAGAGCGTTTTTCTAGTTTCTTATGCGGGCCTTCGCTTTCGTACATCTCCTTTCGTTCCAAAGTTCTAAGCCTTCAAATGAAAGAGACTAAATCCCAAAATTTCTGCTTTTCACTCTTTTTGCCCTAAATTCATGAGGAATGGCCGGATTAATTTCAAAAAATATGCATAAGGATCATGAAACTTTGTGTTACAAGATGCTTTTTGAGCAAAATATTCCATGGATACTGAGCCGAGAAGTTCAATCGCGAACTTGAGTGAGCGTCGCTGCCCTTTCGTGCCATATAAAACTTCGCAGCAAAAAAGCGATCGCAGGTCTTTTGCACTATTCAGCAAGGGTAGACCTAGTTGACTTGATGGTAGAAAAGCGTTAGGTTTTCTCACTTTCCAGTGGAGAAGAATGAAATTATTTCAAAAATAACCGATTTTTGAACCCGCCGAGATGCCAAAAAAAGTGAGCACTTTCGATTTTTTTACGATATTTTTTTCAAAAATTCTCCGTGAAATCCAAATTTGGCCTTACTGCTCAAGAGACCCTTGGCTACACGATGAGCGAAGTCTACTACATCCTACTTCATTGCAGCATAAGTTGTGCTCTCTTAAAGAAGAGGCTTCTAAAAAAAGTTGTTGGCAATCTTCGGGCCAGACAATCTTTCTTGTAATAGATGCGGTCACGCATAAGTATTTGTTTAATAGCCACTGATCTGGTGGTTATAGTAGCTTTTATTGCGCCCAGAAATGTCTTTTCAAAAAAGAATTATCTCGGTTGCAAGTTAAAGTATAGAAAACGTGCATTAATTATGAATCAACCTAATATTATAGACTTCAAATCCGTTACACATTTTCAGGAAGAGGGGTCTTTTAGCGCTCTACAATTTACTTTTCTTCTTTTTTTCGGGTAAACAACATTGCATGTACGAGTAGCCCCGAAAAGTCGACATTCGGCACATCCCTTCTCGAATTGCATTTCATGTGCATGCTAGCAAAGTGTTTGTATTATTTGCCAGATTAATAAAAGTGTTTTGAGGCTGTCACCGCGTGGAACCATTAATGCATGGCTGTCAATGCTCACGGCCATTCGAATAAGTTTAATTTAGCAAATTTAAATGGAAAGCACAAGTTATCAAGAATTTCGAATCTTGTCTCCAATTTCGTTTCTTTTCTGCGGTAAGTTTCCTTGAGATCGTCGTTGAGATGCAGCACAAGCGAGATATAGTCGGTGAGTGAACATCAGAACAAGAGGGAGCAGCAACAGGGCATGCATAATTCCTTGAAAAAGTTCATAGTTCCTACTTTGTCCGATAAAGACTGTAGGGATGCTGTAGCTCACCGAAACTAATAACGAGAAGTACAGTCTTGAAGCATGTTTGCACAACATAGCTATCCACAAAGGAGAGGGACGATATTCCTAGAAGAACCGAGATGGATGCTTGGGTGATTGGCCAACCAACAGTACCAAGGGTTGCTCGTAGTCGAGAGTATGAGGGGCTGAAGAAGTTCAAAAAATTTTAGCGTTTTCTCAGATTCCAATATGTTTTCTGATATAATTTCTCAAAGTTTTCCTTGTCAGCAAGTACAAATTTTGATTAGCGGGTTTTTCTGTCATCATTCCAAACCCCGCATTCTTCCTCACTCATTACATAGGCTTGAAATCCAACGCTTTTATGCCTCTACTAGTGCCTTTATGTCATGTTTAAGCTTCTACTATATTTTGATTCCCATCATTCCAGTGACTGGATAGAAAGCATAACGGAGCTAACAGCATTTTCATCTATTACATTCACGTGAATGCATTCTAAAATTACAACACTCTTTCTTAAAAAATTTTCGCGGCTCGAAAAGAAACTCATCACCCTTGCAAGCTAATTAAAATAAAAAACTCAATCTATGCGTTCACCTTAGTTTTTCAGAATCTACAAGCAGGCAATTATTTTTGTCTTATTTAGTTTTGCAAAAGAGAGATATGTTTGAATCTAAGGAAACTAAAACTTACTCGTCATGAGATTTATCGTCGATCTTTTGCGTCATGAATGCATAGGAGACATGAGCAGCAAAATCTGAGATGAAATTAGTTCAATCTGGTTTCATTCCAATCTGTGGCAAATGAAGATGTTGGGGTGATAAATATGAGAGGGATGCAATATTTGTACTCATATAGTTGCTGAAAGTATTTTATTCGCAGTGTGCTATGTCATCGTAACCGTCCGTGGGGGTGGGGGCGGAGGGGGGGGGGGGCGGGGGGAGAGAGAGAGAAAGGAAAAAAGATTCGTAAACGAAGATGGTCTACATGAGTCATAAGACTGTGCAAGTGGGTCGAATTTCAGAAACAACTTCGCGAATTCAAAGCTATTCAAAAATTAGCTTATTGTCGCCGGAAATTTGAAAGCATTCCAGAAATTTTCAAATGAATGGTGCAATAACTTCAACAGGAAAAATATCTCTTTCACCGTCACTCTCGTTCTTTTGAAGTACGTATAAACTATGAAGATCAAAGTTACCGCGACAAAAGTGCGGAACAGTGGCCCGAAGAATTCACTGTTCATAATTTTTTGCTTTTTCATGAGAATTCTGGTTTTTCAAGTGTAGTTTTCAATGTTTAAAAATGTGAAATGTTGAATTTCCTAGAAATACCCACCAACAGAGAATCCAACACTCATTGCAATAGTTATCATTGACGTCGCATCTAAATTTACCCCAATAAATGGCATGATGCCAAGCACTCCAAGTGCTACAGAAGCGATGGATAAGCCTATCAGAGGAGCACAAAGTGGTTGTGGAATAAATAGCACGGCCACACAGAGCATGACAGCTGAAAAGTAGGGTGATTTTTTGACGAATTTTTTCAAAAAAGTTACAGACCAACGGATATGTAGAGGTCCTGCAAAGTTTGGGGCCACATGATTTCGTACTGATCAGCTAGATTCCATAACGGAGTATAGGTACTTAGACCATACTGTGGATGACTGTCACAGAGCTCTCTGGAAAAAACATTGCTGTTAGAAAAAGCATTTTTCTTTGTCAGAAAATTCGAAAAATTCGTATAATTTGCTCATAAGAAAATTTGCGAAAAAACTCAAACTTTCAAAATTTATTCCTTCTAAATTCTAGAAAAAAAAGAGGACTCAGTGCGAATGAAGACCCAAAGTGAGACTTATTATGAAAAATTGTTTTCAAGTTTGACCTATAACTTGCAATTTGAAAACAAAATCAAAAAAGTCTACAAATCTAGTACTTCAAATTAGAATTATTTTTCACAATGTAAAATGTAGCACTATTAAAATTTTGTGACAAATTTTCGGGGTAGAGGGTTGAATTTCATTACTGTGATCTACAAATTTGATTTATTTGTAATGAAATGTATTAATGTATTGTTAAACTCCAGCTCATGAATATTGTACTTGCTGAGTCGAGACCTCGCCGATTCCTCGAACTGCGCAAAAAGTTCTTTCCGGAAGATTTTTCAAGGTTGGATGTAGCAGTACTCTGCGTTGATACCACTGCTTTGCTGTGCCAAGAAGAAAAGAAAGATGTGTTTTTACCTCAAATTTCTCCATAATTTTCAAAAATTTTAAGCGTTCACTAGCTACTTCCATTCGTGGAGGTTTCATCACGGCTACATCCAACCTTGAAAAATCTTCCGGAAAGAACTTTTTGCGCAGTTCGAGGAATCGGCGAGGTCTCGACTCAGCAAGTACAATATTCATGAGCTGGAGTTTAACAATACATTAATACATTTCATTACAAATAAATCAAATTTGTAGATCACAGTAATGAAATTCAACCCTCTACCCCGAAAATTTGTCACAAAATTTTAATAGTGCTACATTTTACATTGTGAAAAATAATTCTAATTTGAAGTACTAGATTTGTAGACTTTTTTGATTTTGTTTTTCAAATTGCAAGTTATAGGTCAAACTTGAAAACAATTTTTCATAATAAGTCTCACTTTGGGTCTTCATTCGGAATAGACCTCTAGATTTCCCTCCCATCTTTTCCCGAAAAAAATTTTGACTGCCACTTGCGGAGTTACATACAGAATTTACAAAGCTGTTGTGTTTAAACCAACATCATTTTTGTCTGAGTTTCTTATTGTAACATTTCAGCCAAAACAAAACTTACATCAAATCCTACGACAACTTTTTGACATCCTACTACGGCGGCGGCTACATAGGAACAGAAAAGTACTACAGAAAATGCCACCATCAATTTTTGAGTGATAAATGGAGCGTAGTAATCCTCGAAGAAACGCTGATACCACATTCGTCCATCTATTTCCTGTGATGCAGTCTCAGTTGATCAAAATTCGAACAATGAGACCAAACTTGAGATAAAAATTACCTTTGTATCTTCCTGATTATAATTAGATCTCTGTTTGATGTCATTGTTATTTATGCATGCCACATCTGGTACATCATCTATTACAGATCCCATATGGAAAGCAAGATCCATCATTGTCAGTTTCTCTGGAAGAGGATCGAGCACTTTGTCTCTTTGATTGAAAAGCCTTTCCTCCCTACTCATATTGGGATCATCAAATTTGAAAATATCTATAATGGATAAAATAACCAGCTCTTTACATGTCTTTGGGCGACTGGGATTTTTTAGACGTTTTAAAGCTACGTCAGCAATGAAAAAATTTTGTTCGATGTTTGCGCCACGCCTATTTCCTTACAATTTATTTAAGCTAATGAAGATCCAAAGCCGATTAGAAGAATTTTTGGGAGCATGACAAACAGACAGAAATTTTAACGTTTCCTTCTTAAAGAAAAAGTTCTTGGACCAGATGAAAGGTGAGACGGAACCTATGTGCCTGAGCCGTGGATCTTATGAATCGGAGGAGGATTTTGAGTCTGAACACAAGACCTGACCGTAATTTATTGCACTCAAAATCCTGATTGGTCCGTAAGGTACGGTACTGTAAGGGAGTTTGAAGCCAGAATTCGGCCACGAGTAAATCATGCGCGCTACCGCTTGGCTTTGAGCGATTCCAATCAGCTTCCATAATGGAAGTTTTGATGGCAGGATAATGCCTCTAAGCTGATGCGAACTGCTCACGAACCTGGTCTTGACAAATCTTTCACAGGAGTCATCAGCGTCGAGTTCAGTCCGTTAGCCTCTAGCCTGCCTTGTAAGGCAAGGAATGCAACAAACATCGTCAAGCAATAGATGAAGATGAAAACTACAGCTGCACAGGAGTAGAAGCAGAAATATTTCACCTAAGAATTTGGTCAAGCTTAATAATAAGTAATTGTTTGATTACCGCTGGAAGAGGTGCAATGGCTCCGATGAGAAATGCCAGGGCATCTGTTAAGGTTGTGATACTGATGGAGACAGCAGCATGCTTCATCGAGGTCCTCACACGATTCACGACAGAAAGGTGACGAGAAGTCTCATGCCATGCAGCCAACATCAGGAAAGAATCATCGATGCCGATTGCTGGAAAAGTAATTCGAAATTTTTCCAGAGAAAAAATTCTTTGGAGGAAAGCACTTACTCAGACTAAGAAATGGCATAACAGTACACATGTCTACGAAAGTTACTCCTAGCAGTAGTAATAGTCCCGTAGAAGAAATGATAGCCATCAAGGCGGAAACGACTCCAACTATTCCCATAAAAGGCTTGCTGAGCACCTGATATGGGCTTGAGGAGTTTTTGGAATGACCGGAATATTTTCACTAACCCAGTCCACTACAGGAATCTTCGTATCCTCGTTCGAAAAAGCGAATACGCCAGATGGTAACGAGATCCATTTCAGGTTGAATGTGCAAAGTATCGAAAACAGTATGAGGACGGAGAATGTGATGGAAAATCTGAAAATGGTGATCGCTGAAATAGTAATTATTGTCAGAAAATTTCGGTACAACCAAGACATGAAAGGGAAGAAGAATATTCTACAGTTCAAATTACACATTATTTTCGTTTTTATAGTTTTTTATATTTAAACTTCCGTTTGGAAGTTTACGGTATTCTTAGAATTAAAAGTCAGGATTGAATCTCTTTATTCAAAAATGGACTTCCGCGTAAATTTGTCGGTTATGCATATGATTTGTGTGCTGAAGTCTTACGGTTGATTGAGGTACGAGTTTCATGAGTTTTGTAGAACTATGTGTGCTTATACTGCTCAGACTTGTGGTTTGAACCGGAGTATCGTTTTGGATCATCTTACTGAATTCACTAGTCACAAGAATCATTGTAAGGAAGAATGAGAGGAAAAAAAGATCGCGCTCAAAATCATGCCAGGACCATAAAAATTCATTTTTGAACTCACTTCGGTGTAATTCTCTTGTTTTCATTTGCCAATTCCTGCTCAAAAGTATCGGAATGGAAATAATATATGTTCAATAGTCTTCCTGGAGCCGCGCCACCCTCTATCGCTCGAACAATGGCATTTTCGAAGTCTCTGAAATTGTGTTCTGGGAAATTTTGGGCAGTTCCGGGTAATCTGAGAATCTGTACTTTGGATTTCAAATTCTAATGTGGACACTGTTTGGGAGGCCTTAAATTAGTCATTGTCAAACTAGTAACTCATGCGATTCATTCTTGGTAAATAAATTCAATTTCAAACTTGCCCTAAACCGTATTTCTTTCAAGCAGACCGATCGGCATACGGTTCTGGGCGAAAGTTTAGAGATGAATTTAACGGCCGCGAAGAAATCTTATGAACTGCCATTTGGATAATGGCCCGACTAAAAGCTCGTAATCAGTTTCCACGTAAGAAACCCCGGTACCCAAATATGCCTGGACACTATATCTTATTAGAAACAACAAAACTCACGCGCTGAGTTTCTCGGTGCTTGGCTGGTGATGCTTCAGCTGGAACAAAACTAGCCATGCCTTAGCCGAAACGACACGATCACCTCGAACTGTGACACCACCGAGGGTTCGCGATACATCTATCGGCTCAGTAGCAAATCTTGTATGGTAGAGAGGGTACGTCATGTTGAAATGGTCCTGAAATGGTTGCTGAGTAAAAAAAATTATGGGGAAGAACCTTATCTACCTGATCTCCTTTGGAGTACACATCAGCGATAAGTTTTGCGTGTGTGTTGGAAAAACATTCGTTCTGGAAATATAATTAGTTTATAGACGAGGGATGGGTCAAGCAATAAACTTGAGACTTTCGAAAAGATAGATTGCGACACATTTTTTCGTCATCGCACATATATTGCGATTTTCTTGAAAAAATAAATTTCCGAAAGGATTGTCACGACATTTTCAACAGGATGACTACGTCACAAAGGAAAAATCCGTCGCAATCCTTTTTTTGCGAAAATTCGCATTACTGCAGTTTCTATGGGACTAACCTGAAAATGCAGGCAAATATCAGAATAAGAAAAGTGCTTCCCTTCCGATGACATAAACCTAGCTGTTGTCACCCATTTTAGCGTCTGAAGAGTAAATTATAAAATAAATGGAAAAACAGCGAAATTACAAAAAATTGAACCTCTAGAAACTGTGCTGCATACTGCTTTCTCAGCACATTACCTCCATCATTCGCTTGCACGATAAGGTAAAGGCCTCGACGACGGAGTAAATCTTTTCCTATAAACCAAATTCATTGTTCCCAACAGTTACATAACTGTCTTGAACTGTTTCTGTAGGATGCCCTTACAGTAAACAGCTAACATTCATTGCTAAAACGTCAAATAGTCACACCTTTATAGAGCTTCAAGGAAAGCGAGAACTGCAATTTTGCTTGGAAAAATGTCTTTATTACGATCAAAAGTTACTCTTCGAATACATTACTTTGCAGAGTGCTACAGTGAGAAGCCAAACCTAAGAGGTGTTTACCTAGAATTTCGGCATCCATAAATATGGACTAAGTTAGTGAAGATTTCAAAGCGATGCACAACTCATCGTCAGACCAATTTGAAGCACTGTCTTCAAACAGGCAAATGATCTATGGATTCAGTGAAAACCGGCAAATCAAAGGCAGACCGAGGGAAGCCCCCCCCCCCCGAGAATAGGTCGCGGAATTGTTGAACTTCACTTATATGCGCCATAAAATGTGCGGGTGACTTGTTTTCTCGTGTAAATAGCCAAAATATTTTTTTAATCTTTTAAAAATTCAAATTAGCCCCTTGTAAACGGAATTTTTTCGGGGCGTGGCTACGACCACGCCCCATTGTTCCAAATTTTGTGGCTATAGACTCGCAACAATTCTGAGAACCACTCCAGAATTTTTTCGGAGTGCATGGCACCTTTATTTTAAAAAAGATTTTGCAATTAGAGCCACTAGGACAAAAAAGTTTTGCTCTGGATCTCATTCTGAGCGTTCAGGCAAGTGTGAGCTTCAGCCTTGTGAGAACATTTTGAGGAATCCAATATCGCTCAAGCTCAGCTCATATATTCATTGCGTCTATGGCTGTAAAAACTCGTCCACAACGTACTGAGTGAAGCGCACTCTAAAGTACTGTAGTGGGCGAGAGCTTGGAGATCAAGTTCTTGGCCAAAAGTGTTTCATATGAGGTGCAGCTCGGACAATAACTTAGTTAAGGCTTCAACCAGTACACATGCAAGAAGTCGAAGTGACCAAATTTACCCGGGCACTGCTTCGGATATATGCAGTAACCTTTCCCGCTTACCTGGGTAGAAGTGCTCATCATCGGATGCCCAGTTTTCTCCAAAAACAGCCTCTTCTGCTTTCCATCGTGCGTCGAGCGGTGAGTAAAGATAGTAAACTCCTCGGACGATATTGAAATTAAGAAATATTCCGACTGACAATATTGCTGTTAGTATACACGGTCCAATGATGAAAGGCCATGGATGCCTGAAAAATTTTTTTAGCAAGCCAATTATCCCTCAAACTCGCAAAAAGCTGCTCTAGTGCGCGAAATTAGCTTTAATGCTTGGCGCAACGAATGGTCAAAGTTCAGGACGAACCCGTGCTTATTCCGGGGAAACCAGAAACGAAGAAGTGCATTTGGGTGACCGGTGCGATTTCATGCTTCAGAAAACTGCAAACGGCTAATCGCGCTACAGGAAAAACTATGTGGCGCGGTTAGTGCCCAGAATTTTTTTCCCTAATGAAACAAGTTTTGGAATGAAATGAAAGTTGGAGCAAATATGTGAAACTTCAAAATTTTCAATTTTGTTCATTGATTTTGCGAAGAGAAATTTAGGAGATCGAATCCTGATCTTTACAAAAGCAAAACTTTAGGAACTGGTTTCATGAACATTTTATTTGTACATAGTTGAGTTTCTACTATGATCTACGGCCGTATTTTAACACTCATTCTGTGCAATTGCACTAATACCAAATAAACCGCTTCATGGTTACGGAAACAGTTAACAGTGAAAAATAAAATGATTTTATTGAATGGGGAAATAGCTTCTTATACTCCAAAGCCACTTGCTTGTCAAAGACCGGATGTGGTGCAATTACACAAAGTGCTAAAATAAAGAACCGTTTCTTACCTTGCTACAAAAGCGCAATAATTTGCTACCAACTCGGTCCAAGGCTTCTCCAATGGCGCCCATTTGATTTTTCCTAGGGGCATAAACCTGAATTGACTAAAATTATTGAATTTTGCAAAAAGACTGAGGACATTTACAATAGAACAACATCGGCAAAGTTCGAACTACGTAATGAAATGTTTGCTTTTCGAAAACTTTGCACGTTTGTTCGCACTTCTGGATTTGGATGAGCTGCAAACCAGTTTCAAGAGGCTAAAGGAGATGATAGAGAGAGGTTAGAAAGCTCGAAAGATAGTGGGCCGTATTATTAGCTCGGATCAAAATTGAAAGCTTTCATGTTAGAAGGCTTTGAGAAGTAACAAATATCTGGCATCTTTAAAAAGAATAATAATGAGAAATGAAAAGTACAACTTTTTTTGATCAAAAATTATTTTTGGCGCAAACTGGTGCAAGAAAGTGAGGAGACTCACCAATATCCAAGCAAGAAATCTATATTGAAAATGTCTTGATTTTGGACGTAGAAGTTGTAATGTCTACATATTCAGCAAGAAGTAAACAATATTTATTACCCACAAGTACTCCCCTTATTTGTGTTATGACTTTTGAACCATTTACATGATTATATGAACTGCCCAAGACAATTTTTGTGCAGAAAACGAAATAATTTTGTAGCCAACCTATTTGATGGATACCTCTCTAAAAAATAATGACCAGTCCTTTTTAGAGCAATGTCATCCTCAAGGTTCCCACGTTAGCCTCCAAACTTGGGCAAAGAGTAAACAAACAACAGGGTAGGTAAATTACAGTATCGGATAACAGAGAAAATCAACAGGAGTCGTAGTAGAGAGCTAGCCAGCATGCTGCTAATTTTATATAAGCATGCGCTCCAAAAAGCAATTTGTCGTGATCCATATTCGGGCACTATGAAAAAGAGCATCAGCAGCACTAGTAGATGAGTTCCGGTTCTCATTTTCCTAGTCGAATTAGCACATTTCACCGTCTCCTCCTTTTTTGCGGATCTATAAAACAACTCGCAGCACACGCTCGCTTATTCGGCGAATAATTTCTAGAAACGAGCTAATCGCATCAAAACGAATCTCAACGGAATAGTGGACATTGGTTGGATTGAGTGTTTTGGGCTCAGAACGAAAAGAAAATAGTGTATTAACAGATATATTGATAGAGTAAAAGTGAACTTGAGAACTTGATGTGCGGGGAAAGGGTCTTTCAGAATTAGCACATTTCTTTATTCTTTTAGATTATCAATTATGCAACTGAGCAAAACCCAGCCATTATACTAAAGTGAACCTAATCATCAAAAAAAATCATTTCTAAGACAAAATTGATAGGAATTACACAGTGACAGACCAGGGGGAACCCCTCCTCCTTCTCCTATGTCCTCCATCAAGGACTGCTAATTTCTACATAAAAAAATGTTATGCAGGATGATAAATTCAATCTAGAGAATTTGCTCCAATAGCACACATTCGAACCAAGTTTATGTTCTTATTTGAAACAGATTAACTACAGGCACACTTTTTTCTTCAAAAACTCAGCTTTGCGAAAGATTTTAAGATCATTTTAAATATTCCTTCGAAAGCATTTGCTTTCGACTCCTCAATCCTAGGTTTGGGATCAGCATCGTTTAACAAGAAGTTTTATCCAGTATCAATTGGGGTTCTCACATTTATTCACAACAAAACTAGTACTATTATTTGGTTTTTAGGCACCTTTGAAAAAAAATGTGTGCAGCCAATCTGTTTTTCTCTATGACGTTATAAAATCCGCTTTTAGTTTGTGTCATTATGGGCTATTATTCTGCTCAGAAAGTTTTGGTGGGATTTATAGCTAGAGGTTTCATCCAGAAGCTATTCTTAAAGTTTAATAAACTTTTGCAACTTCTCGCCTTCTCTTGTCCATCATTCGCACATTCTCTGAAAAGTAACATTCATTTAAAAGTTTTCTGCGCTTACAACACTTGAAACTGGGCTTCAATTGAACTAATTGAAAAGCAAGACAACGACTATCAATAGCAACATTGAAAAAGTGCGGAATGGCTCTAAATGTGAAAAGACCGCACGAAATTAGCCGTGGATTTGAAAGAGACTCGCGTACACGGAGCTAAATCAGGGAGTTTGAGGCGCGACGGAAACTGGCAAGACCAAGTTCGGCCGCCGACGAAATGATGGTGTTCTTGAGGTGAATTAAAATAAATCAGCGTACATAATTATCGTGCGCCTTATGCGGCGTGAATTAGCCATTTCGACCTGGTTCACGAATGGCCGCGAAGCGGTGCTTAGCGAACGGAGGGATACGCTGACTCACTGAGGTTCAAAATAGCCTAACAAGACTACAGCTGAGTGGGTTTCTATGCTAATGTGTGCAATTGCACACTTCACAGGATGTTGAGATGGGCGCAAGCCTCCCTTGTGAGAAGTGCAAGACATATCACTAATTCTTACGCGATTGTGCCTAAAGAAAAAGAAAGTTATGAGTAAAAAGGGGAAGTAAGTTTGCTTGCAGTTAGGGAACAGATCTGAAGAAATAAATATGATGTAGAATTTTAGTCCGTGTAGCAGGCAAAAACAGAGATATTTGGGCTATAAGTTTAGGACTAAACTATACAAGGTGCAAGGTCCTTACAAAAGTGTGCTATCACAGTTTTCCAATGAAGTTGACATGACGCTCACATACCGTTCTCTTGTTTTGTTTTTTGTTTTGTGTTTTTTGTTCGGATTATGACATATTCAGAGAGTGCGCAATCAATTGTAATGCACTTTTCACGAAAGACGTGCGTTCTATTCTCAAAATGTGGAAGATTGTGCAATTGCACACATTCGCAGGAAGATTTGCACGACTTTATCCTATTTACAGCTGGCAGCTGTATTTGTCCTGCCTCGGCTTTTCCAGTATCATTTCTAGATATAATTGAGCAGACCAGATGAAATTCATCTGCTGCATACAAAGAACTACAGAAGAACTCCACTTCCATTACTTTACAAATCTCTCCTAACGAAAAACTCTCCTACTCTCCACAGTAATCAGAAAATTTGCAACTACACGAGTCCTCGAAAGTAAAATATGCAGGAAGGGAGGGTACACAATTCCTTCTAATTTGAACAGTTTCTTCATTCTCTTCATTCTAGCTCTCACATCACAAAATTGTTCGTCTTCCCGCGCGGTTTGTGCAGCTGCAGAAGCTGCATTCTTCAAACGACAATTATTGTGCTTGTATTTTGCATTCTTTGTGAATGTTGCTTTGCCGTGGATTCGGATTATGCTTGTTTATCGTAATACTACAAAATCCTAGGAATGCCAAAAATCGAGGAACTATCAGTACTTCGAGTGAATTCGGCTGTGGAAGGAACTGCAGGTAGCACGGTATGGACGGTAAAATGGAATCATAGTGGAACTCTGCTAGCAAGCTGTGGAGATGACAAAACAGTGCGAATATGGAAGAAAGTTGCGAGTAAGTCTTGCTTCCAGTTTTTGGATTATTCATTGTAAATTTTGACCATCTTTCTTAAGATAAACCATATCTACAGTGCCGAACAAGCTTAGACGATAGCCATACAAGGGCTATTCGTTGTGTGGAATTCTCTCATTGTGGACGTTTTCTTGCATCCGCCAGTTTCGACGCTTCTGTAGTCATATATAGCATAGAGAAGTGAATCATTTTACTGAAATCTATTTGTTTACTCATTTTCGCGCTATACGTTGCTATTCAGCGGCGAATTCTCAGAATGCAACAAATTGGAAGGCCACGAAAGCGAGGTGTGTTGGTGGTCCCCTATTGTTGTTTTGAATTCGGATCTTCAGTTGTGTTTCTGCAGGTCAAATGCTGCGCTTTCTCTCCTTCTGATGAATTTCTTGCCACATGCAGTCGGGATAAGAGCGTATGGTTCTGGCAAAGTAAGCACTTTTATTAAGATTTATAATCATTTTTGTGCGGATTCCTTTTATTTAAACTAGTGAACCAGTAATTAAAGGTGCTAGATTGCATCCGCGCGCTTCGGGACCGCACCGCGGTTTCCCGCTGTATGCGTATTTTTGAAATGTGCTTACGATTTTTTATATATTAGATAGATTCTTTATATATTAGCACGTTGACGACCGAGCCATTTTTGACCACCTTAAAATGGACTGATGATCTACGGCTGCGGTTTGGGCTGTTTAACAGCTACCGCAATGCCGTGTGTTCTATATGACAACCAGGCCACCAGTGTTATTACTGCATAGAAGTTACCTGAGAAATTTTCGTTTACACATGATAAATTGATGCACGAAAGTGCTACAAGGTGGTCAGGGCGTGCATACGCGCGGATACACACGGTCGTCAACGTGTTAGATAGATTTTCAGTGGACGAAGATGATGATTTCCAAGTATGCTCTGTGCTCCAACAACACACCCAAGACGTAAAGTTTGTAACATGGCACCCTAATGAGGAGGTAAAAGCTAAAGCAGGGCATGTATCACCATCATTTTACCAAAAATAAACTTGCAGCTACTGGTATCATGCAGTTACGATTATTCCATTGTGTTCTACAAATTCGATGGAGAGGACTGGATAACTCAACAGAAGATAACTGATGTTGGTGCTTTTTTGCTTGTCAAAGCATCATTGTGTTTTGAAAATGTCTGCTTAGGCTCACGAAGGTACAGTATGGTGCGCAGCATTTGATAGCGAAGGACATCGACTGGTCACTGTTGGGGAAGATTGCGTTGTCCAGGTAATTGCATCTGCGGTTAATGATAGTTCTCGTGATAGCGAAATGTCAAAGATGTTTGCCTATGCTTCCTCTCCACTATCCATAGTCACTTTTCTTTGTTTTAGTTTCGTTCTGTTACGCTTCGTATAGCTCTTTGTACTCATTTTATTTTCATGCTACTGTTTAGTTATGGAAGCGTGAGTCACCCGCAGAGCTCGCTGTCAACGACAAATGGAGATCCGTTGCCAAGTTCCATATAGAGGACTCTCGACTACCTTTGTACTCTGTCTCTTGGCATTTCACCACTGGGCTTATTGCTGTTGGAGGTGGCGATGGGTTTATAAGGTGCACATGCTTTGTTATGTTTTGATCAAAATCATGTACTTGTTATCTTTCGCTGCTTCTTGCGTTCACATGCAAGCACAGAGTCATTATGTTTCTTCTCAGAGAGGATTTTGAGTAATTTGACGGAAGGGCTCTTCTTTCGTGCCCGATGCAGGGTTTACATTTTTTAATACAGTTGAGATGAAATTACCACTGTAGAATCTATATTGCAAGTGCCTTCATTAATTTAAGACTGCAGCAAATCCATACAGAGCAGATTCCTCTCTCATCACTCTTCCAGTTGCCAGAACTTTGCATTCTTTTTTGAAGATTTCTAAACACACGTTTATGACAAGTCCTCTATTTGGTTTTTTGAAAGCATTTTTTCTTTCAAAAATAAAACAAGTCTTTTCTAGGCCTATCCCTCACTCCATTACTCATCTGCTGTTTCAGAATCTTCCAAATAGAAGGACACGGTGACGATGAACATCTTATCCAAGTCACCAGTCGAGACGCGGATGCAAATGAAGTGCGTTCCACATCACTTTCCTTTCAGAGATTTCATCATCTTATATATAAAGCTGAATGTCTGTTTGTATGTATGTCTGTATGTATGTCTGTATGTCTGTATGTACGTATGTTCCGAATAGAAATTTTATTTCTGAACCGATCCGGACCAAACTTGGCACACATACACTTCGGGCCCCGGCGGATGTCGCAGGCTACTTTTTGTCATCGATCGATATCGATTTTATCGATTTTTTGCAAAATTTGAGCTACGGGGCTGGGAGATGGCACAGGGGGTAATCAAGCATGCTGATCATCCCCGTGGGGGGGTGATCAGCATGCTCGATTACACCCCTCTGCCAAATCGGTCCGGATCGGTTAAGAAATGGAATTTTCTATTCGGAACATACGGCGGAGCCGGGTAAGCCGACTAGTTTGAAACTATAAATTCAATGTGAGTCTATTTAGATCAACTGCGTCGCGTGGAGTCCCTCCACTTCTCCCGACGAGCCATCTGATAGGTGGTTATTAGCGTGTTGTTCAGATGATGGAACTATCAGACTGTTTGGTGTCAGCTTGTGATTGAATGATTCGATTCGTGTAAGTTGTATCTCAGTTCATTGCCATTGCCTCTTAGCAAATGTGATCTTGTTGCGATAGCCACAGTGTTTTCTTACCTTTTTATAACCATTACTAGTTGATTTTAGCAAATTCATGCACTTAAAAAATTGCTAAGTTGTTCATAGTTGTGTTGACACTGGTTCGTTGTTGTTGTTTTTCATAGTTTATTTAGAAATAAGTAGCCACTTTTATAGAGCTCATTCATATCACGAACAATGTACAATAAGAATAAAACGATAATAATAATAATCAAGCATTGGTCAGACCTTCCGAAGAACAAGCAAACTATAACTTATTAGAAGGCATGAACATCCGGTAATAATGTACCTGATATTATTAGAGAAATAAAGCAGAACACTTGACGTGGAAGTAAATAATATACCGGCGATAAACTGTGAGCGTTGAGTTTTTAGATGAATTTTTTGTGTGATTTTTTTTTGCTTTATTTTTGCATGTAAAATTTGAAAGTAACACTGTCAGAGGCATAGATTTGTGCGTGTTTGCCGCAAATCGTACCGAGTGCCTAGAATAACAGAAAAGCGTGCTATAGTCTAGTATAAAAACAAGCGCACAGATTAAATTTATGATCAAAACTCCGTGGTGATGTGATTTTTAATGGTCTTTTCAACGTAGAATCTCCGCTGCAACCGCTGTAACACGGGCGCGAATCTCGTCAACGTTCACATTGCCAGCTGTCGAACGCATGTTCAGCAACGACTCGCGATCATAACGCGTCTGCAAAAGTATCGTTTTTACGCAAATGGTAATAATTTTGCGAAGTTTTGGACCAGATGCCATTTGTTACAACAAAATGTGTTCGAAAAGCTGTTAAGATGCAATACCGTTCAAGTTGCTGACCGTGCTGTTTCCAGTGTTAGTCGAGGTCTTTTTCTGAACTGCTTCTACGCCGGCTTCAGCTAGATTTGGTGTCGATCCATGGAAAGAACGCGTTGGCTAAAATTTTCAGGATCATTTCATTTTGCTAATATTAGACTGTTTCAAAAATCAAAAAAGAAACAAATAATGATGATTCATGTTTGATTGGCTATATAGATGCTTGATGAAGCCACTTTACAAAAGTAAAAAATAGAATGATTATGGAATAACGAGATAATGATAAATTATATATTAGGTTGATGCAGAATTCTTGCACCAAATCAATTCTATTATTTCAACAAGCGTCGATGAAATCTTCTTGTTTGTTACATAACAGAGTGAGCAAATCTTGCGCTTTCTGAAAGCGATCGAGTCAAAATTCCTTGAGGGCATATGGCAACGATATAAGGTGAACAAGAGAAGTACCCAGAAAGTACTTTTTCGATTTTTGGTCACCAAAATTGCTTAACGTCTACTGAAATTTGAATCTATTATCGGTTTTAGTTTTATGACATGCTCTTTTTAACCAAGATGGTTGTTAGTGGTTAGATGTCTCTGCGAATAGTTACGAACCTCGATTTCTTTGAATTGGCTTATTTGTATAAAACATTGCTTTTGATATGCTTCAAAACCATTTTTTTCCAAGTTTTTGGTGCAAGAATGTGGATCATCCTAATACATAACTTCGTAACGGGCAAAATTCCGAGGAATTTTGATGAGTATAGTTCGTATTATATTTTTCAAAAGTTCGCTCATATCTGCTTATTTTATCCACCTCAATCTAAAACTGGGCAGATAAGAGCCTTGTCTTAAGCACGGGATCAAAATTAACCAGAAAACATGTTTTATTGAATTGAACAGGCAGGCAACAGGCATCGCGGCATTGTGAACACGGTTTTTCTCGCTAGCTGTCTTTTTCATCAAGCAAATTTCTATTTTGCAGCAATTTTAGCAGAGAAGTGATTACTGCCACTGCGCGCCACCTTTGCGGATTGCTGGTTTTCAATGGTATGCAATAGATGTGCGAAAGGAGCAGTAGTCCGCGTAGTTGGTGACCACAACGGTATTTGTTCCTTTTTGGATCATAAAATTGCAACAAAAAAACTACGTCAAGCGAAAGTTGAACAACATGTGGTATGTCATCCACTAAGTCATAATAGTTAGGAAAAATGATGAGAAAAACATTATTTTCTCGTCAACTACCTTAGATGTTTGCTCGGGATGGCTTGCCTGAAGTGGCATACTCTTTCTGCGCTCCTTACGTTTTTCACGTTCCTCAGCTGAAGGTTTTGCTCGAGCTCGTAGATATTCGGATAGCGCTTCTTGAGCTGCCTAGAATTATCTTGCTTTGAGCTCCCGAATTTAGAATTTGATGAGAAATTTTCCCGAAAATTCCCCCACCTGCAGAACTTGTGGATCCGAGCAGCATAGCTTTAGCATGCCGTCCTGCGTGGTCTCAATCGAAATGTCGTTTTCATTCTCATCATCGTCGTCGGGTACCTCATGTGCTGCTGCATCGGGCTAAAACGTCAAAATTAATAGTCATAAAATCTCAAGGGAAATTTCTAAGGAAATTTACCCTTGTTGGACTCATATTCCTCTTGATTGTTTCAATGATTAAATCCTTTGCCCTTTCAATATCTTCCATAGAAGAAGCTGTTATTGTTAGAGTTCTTTCTTTGCATTTAGAATCCACCTTCAACAAAAATTCAAATATTTTCCGATGGAAAACTTTGAAAAATATCTACCTTTTGGAAGCTAATGATGGTATTGGTCATCTGCTCCACCAGAGCCACTCTCCTCCCTTTCACTCCCATAATTTTCCCAGAATCGCTGTTTCGAATGATCATCTCATGCCGCAACTGTAGTGATTTGGGCTGATTCGGCTGTAAATGTGGAAAATGCAGGGGTTAGTCACTAACTAAGGTCTAGTTTCAGACGGAAGCGGATGAATCATCTTGCGAAGCGGACGCGAGCGGGTCGCTCGAACGCCTATTATCGATTGAGCACGTAGGACTCAACTGTAGCCGCGCTCGCATGCGCTTTGCTTATATGGACATCCGCCTATGTCTGGGATTGAACTATACTCCTCATTCACGAACCTTTTTTAAACTTCTCTGCCGCATTAGAACCGCTTCAGGATTGATTAGCGGTTGTGGTATGAATGGATTCGGTGGCATTCCGGGAATCATTGGAGGCATCCAACCGCCAGAAGCCGGTATCAGATAAAATCCGGCATTTGCTGAAATATAACCTCTTTATCTGAATGTAGGCCAATAAAGAGGAACGCTAGGGTAGGACAGAGGACAGGGGTATAAACATGATTTTGGGGAGGAGGATAGGGATAAAATTGCTTATTTCGCCGCTTACGATGGGTTGCTGGTGGTGTGTCAGGCGGAATGAACAAGGGATTCTGTGGAAGGAAGGCCATCTGTTGTGCGGGCATCACTGGTTCTTGTTCTGAATTAGAGGGTCAAAGATTTTATTTACAGAGATTAAATTTAAGAAAATTAGGTAGCAAAATGAATGTAATACTGGGGTGCAAAACAGTTGGAGAAAATTGTCTCCATAATAAAAAAAAGTAAAAATTACACTTTTATTTTTGGTGAATTGATAAAAAAGTACTATGACCTGAATTAGAGGAGTTCTTCAATTATCCCAAAAACCGTTTGCAAAAAGAAAGAAACAAAAATCGAAACAGAGTAAAAAGGTGCCATTTTGTTATTTTCTTGCATTCTTTGATATTGTTTTGTGTAGGCAGCGTCTAGATTTACCCGTGTGCCAGCGCCGTGCCGTAAACCATGTGTAAGCGCCGCGTATTGATTGATCGACGTTCCGGCACGGCACTGGTGCCGGTAACTCTTGATCGCAGCCTAAAGTCTAGCTCTGAACCATAAGGAAATGATGGCGCGACTTTAGAATTTTTTTCTTAGCTCACGAATAGATGAACAATATCATGTGGTTGATATAATTTGATATTTATCTATTCTATCCCTCTACTCTTTGTTGGCAGCAAAACCTACGCTGCTCCGGACGGTTGAGGTAGTACTGACTATGTGCCAAATTGCTCCTCCAATGCATGGCACGTAGTTCGACCAGTTCCATAATTTTCAGTCTAAAAAAGGAATTTGTAAAAAAAAAAGACACTCAGAAAACTCCTTAGATGGTTTTTTTGGAACTAACCTGCACGGCGTTCCCAATTGTCCATTGTCTCGACAACATGCCTGACGAAGAGAAACGAACACTTTGTTGAGCTCGTCTAAAGGCAAAAAATGTTAGCTAACATGGAAAAACTATAAAATTTAAAAATTGCTAACTTCGATGTGTTTGCTCCAAATTTATGCCGGACGTTTTCAACTGCGCACAGAGTGCAAATATCACATTCGCCAGTTGGCTGGTAAATTGGCCATTCTTCACCATGGTATTGATGGAATTCATTAGCTGCAGCTGCTGTTCTGAAAGGTGAAAAACGTAAATATGATCGGTTAAAATTTTACTTTAAACTCATGAAGAACTCAGGTTTATCCTTGAAATCGCAATTTTCAATTCATCCAAGGTTCAAAAATTCTGTTGTACCACTCAGTGAATGAAAATCCACGTTTTCTCAGACATATAGAAAATATCAAACTAGAAGAAAAATAAATACATTGGGGTTTAGTCACAAGTTTTGACATACAGATCGCCTTTACATGATGTTACTCCTTCAAAAATTTGCCAAATTTGTTGCGATTTCTGTGGACTCACAATAAGAAGCACTGCGCAAGAGAACCAGTTATAATTTTTATACAATGTAAGCACTTACTAGCTTATTTTAAATAAAAGTAATGCTGAACTCGTGAAGGAATGGATAGTAAAATTTATTTACTGTAAAAGAAAGGAAGAAAATAAGAGAGAGGTTTCCTGAAAGAGAGATCCATTTTCACCCAAAGTGAGGCTCGGTTTCTAGAACTAAATAGGATTTCTTTTCCTTTCAAGGAAGAATCCTTCTTTGGAAAAAGACCCGGGAGCAACTGAGTCTGAGAGGAGACTGAGAAGAGCTTTTCCTTCACCATTCACTCTTCACTCTATTCAAGACAAATGCCTACAGTCTTCTGAGCTTTTTACCGATGTGTGCAATTACACAAATGTCAGGTTTAAACAACAAAAAGGAGCCCTCAGGTAAGCATTGTTTGAAATGTAATCAATCAGGTTTTTGCAAGCAAGACTGCACCTAAGCAGGAAAAATCATCAAGAAAAACGACAAGAAAATCATTTTGGGGCTCTATGACCTACCTCATCCTGAAAGTGTGCAATTGCACACATAAGCAAAGGAAAGCTACCCTCTGGTCAGTATCTGCACTTGATTTAGATTCACGTGGGGTAACCCAAGTAGAAATTGAACCTGATAGATTCTTTACTATGTTGACTTATCTTGATACTCATACTTAAGACCCAACTTTGAAGCTGTAAGCTATATAAATTCAGAAAGCAACTCAAAAGAAAAACTTAAAAGCAAACAAACCGAAGAAAGCATGATCCAAGTGTGATGATTAGCACTACCTCGCCTTATACGAAAATCATTCGAGAACTGAAATAGGAGAGTCCCCGAACTTGGCTCGAAGAACATCATAGTGCTTATGCGTGCGAGTCAGGGGGTTAGGATTGTGCGATCCCTGTTCGTTACAATGTGCTGCCATTTGTTCTGCTCCCGTTCCCCCTCCCCGGCACAGGAGCTTGCCCCCGTTTCGATCGGATCATATTTCCAATGCAAAGCTTCCGTACACTCTCTCATACACTTGTCTCGCCGACGGATAATCATGTGGATTTACACTCGATTGAGTTTTTCTGTGCATATCGCAAATGCCTTCTTTGCATTTTGTGCTGAAAGAGTAACAGCTCTGAACCGTTTCATGCATCTCATTTTTCCATTGCACTTACGGGAAAGGGGGGGGGGGGAGGGGGAGGTTGCGAAATGAAAACTAGCCGGGAAAGGTAAATAATGGCGCAAATTTTTGTAGAAAGCTTTCTATAGCTTTAGTGAGCTGCTCGGCAAAGAAGTAGAGATCTAATGGAATTTTCTGACAAAAGCAGTTGCTCGGAGACTGGAATATTGAATTTAATCAGGAGAAAGGTGCTTGCTCTTTTCTTAAGTTGTTTAAGCTGTCGTAAACTGGGAAATCTTGATTGGTGACCAAACAACAGCAAGGACTTCAAAGATCCCGAGGAATTTCAAAAATTCACCTCGAAGAAAAAATTTGGGGAAATGGTCCGTGCAAATTAAATCGAGTATCACTCATTCCAAGTGGAATGGTCTAAATCACTTTTATATGAATTTCTTCTGAAATTGTTTTCAAACGTAGAAAATATTGAAAATGTAGAATTATAATTCGAATTATTTAAAAATTACCCACAAATTATTGCATTTTCCATGTAGAAAACTTCAATAATTTACGGAAGATTTATGGACTCTTATCAATAGGAATTAATCTCAAACTAGGGCTTAATCCATCATTTTTTGAACATTCTGTTCATTCTCAAGGCATTTTGAATTACTTTTGCCTAGACTACTTGCAATTTTTTTCCATATTCAGACGATTCAACAGAGAAAAATTTTCATATCATATTTTTCAATTTTTTGAAAATTTGTACTTATTCTTAAATTTAAAAAAAAGCTGAAGAGGTCGTCTATAAAATCATTTTCCAGATATTGTGCTACCTTTGCACTTCAGAATTTTTGCCTTTAAAATAAAATTATTCATGTGAACAATATTCTTTGAATTTAAAAATCTATAATTATTCAAAAGAAACAATTTGAATTGAATTAAGGTAATAAGATTAAGAAAACATTTAGGTTATTGAATTAAGGTCGTCTATATATTTCTTAAACACTGTACAAAACTTACATTTACCCCAGTTTCTCAAAAAACTCTACTTTGCAGAGATATTTTTTTCTCGACATTTTTTTCCCGTTTCACGTTCAACAAAAATCCGCCAAGTGCAAATCACTCTTCAAGCATAAGTATGCAACGCGTGAAATCTGTCGAGTTTGTGACGGCTGGTGACATGACAGAGGTGCATTAAAAGTTCTTTTTTTTTTCTTGGAGAGGGAGGGGGAGGGGGGGGGGGAGTACGATAATATGTAAATCATGTTAGGGCACAAAGGTGTTCTGCATGTACAATTTTTTTGTAGTCAACTAAATTTCCTGTGTACCAACTATCAGTAATGGACGCAAGCGGGTAGGAGCAAATTTTAAATGATCAGAGATGGAAAGAAGTATTAATTTCAGTTTTTTTCAAAAGAAAACCCATTTCCAAGCTAAAGTAATCAAAAATCTGATTGTATTTCATATCATTCCTTAACCATATTGCAAGCGAAATGACAGTTTGAAATAAATGCTCATTAAGAAGTCCTTCCACCTGTAAGTGTCGAAAAATTGTATCAGGAGGAGACATCTCCTAACAACAGTTTACGAAATTTTCAAAATTTTCCCACACAATCACGGAAGTTTTTACTACTTGTAAAGAAAAATCTGGAACCAGTTTAGAAATTCGCAGATGGATTAAAATGTTGCTAAGTGTAAACCAACAATTTTTATGACTATGGATGACTATTTGGGAAACGAGTCATGAGTTTACATAGCAAAGTAATGATTTCAAAACTCACATTTTCAAACCAATTTTCAAACCAAAAACTTTTTTCAAAATTTAAGTTTTTATTGGTACGCAGAGAACCATTCACAATGGTCACAGAAAAGAATAGTGATGGAAAGCCCTACTTTTGAGAATTACAGATTTTGGAAAGATCGTGAATATAAGCCGAGAAAAAAAGAAATAACGGGCTGACAGTGGTCTAATATTTGTTTTTTTTTCTCATTAAAAGCATGAGACTGTCCAAAAAAGAAATTAATAAAAATTTTGGGAGGAAATTTGAGAAATACAGCTATTTTTTCACCAATTATAGTGAAAAATATAAAATTTGGAAGAAAAATTGAAAGAAATAGGGTTGAATGTCTCAACAGCATTTTTGTACCATTTTCAATTTTGGATTTGGTTGATCAAATTTTTATTGTTGGTAATTGATGTTATTCCGTTTATTCATCTTGACTGCTTTCAAAATAATTTAGGGTTTTGTCAAACAGTGAACCTCTATTTAAGTCTTGGCTTTGTTACCCGAGTTGCCTACTTAATTTTTACATATTCTTTCTTTCCAGCAGATTTTCCTCAGCGTTACACTTTCACTATCCAAAAATAAGAAACCGCATTCTTTCACACATGACTGAACTTCCAGGCAAGTTTTACCACAGGCGCAAAAAACGCCAATACTGTTTGCTTCACGATTTATTCACATATTCATGTGTGTATATAATCACTCGAGAATGTTCCTCGACGCTCGGAGAACTAGTTATCGAGGCTAGCTCTCGCAGCCACACATGTGTTAACTTTTGCCTTTACATAAACTTTTTCGTTGTTCTCGGGGAATACACAACAGACACACTCGGGAAAGATTTCTAGTTCGTACAATAGATAAAGAGCTGTGGAAGCTCTTCATCGAGAGTGTGTCTTACACGAATCTTGCGCGCGAGTGTCCGTTGCGAGGGGGGTAAATGAGAGAAAATATTTGTTTAGTACGAGAGCGATTTGGATCGGGGAGGGGGAAATCTGATGTTCGAGGCTGGGTTTTCCTCAAATAATCGAAAGAGAGAGCAAACAAAGCGCTTTTGATTTGATTTACAACTGTTCTTATGTCTCAAGAACATTAGGACAAGTTTTTTGACTCAGAAAAAAAGGAGACAGAAAGAAAAGAAAATCACTTGTCGAGGCACTTTGCAGTAATAGAATAATTTGCTAAAAACGTTTTAGTAATGTCTTAACAAGCTAATAAGTACCCGTTTATTACTTCGCGACGAGTTTTTTCGATCCCCATAAGAATAGCAGCGAATAATTCATTCGTGCACCTCATCACTCACTCACTTATCGATATTACAGTACCCCTCATCAGCCCGCCCCCCCCCCCGCCCAGGCCTCGAGTTTCGAGCCAGCCACGAACTCCGAGATGATGGATAACAAACGGATATCTTTGTGATCGATGAGCAAAAATTGAAGGATTAGGACCTTTGAGAGCCGGCACGATAGGCTTTTTCTTTTACAAACAAAAGGATCAACTTTTCCAGGAGAGCAGAAAAAAGCTACGGTAAGACTCAAATGACGCTTAATGTCAACAAACGCCAAAAAATAAACATTGGGCTTTTTTTCTAAAGTCTACGCTCTCAATGGAGGGAGTCATATAATCTCTGCAAAAGTTGAGAAAGTCATTCTTAGAAAGGTTTTCCAGTTTTCCACCCATTCAAGCTTTAGATCGATATAAAAATGCCAAGATTAAAACTAACCCTCAAGCAATGGAAATATTTTCAACCTCTATTGCCTCAACAAAAAGTACCAAGAACATTTGTTCCTCCGGCTGGAAAACTTAAAAACTCTCGTAAACTACATCTTGATGCTCGTTCAGTGCCAGACTTCAAGATGCCTCAGAAACAACCCATTTCTCCTTCTTGCCTATGGCTGCACAGCTGATCTCCATAACATTTTCTTCGCTTCTAGAACTTTCTAACAACAAGTGAATGGTATTTATGTGCGCGTGATTCATTGTGCAACACACGGAGATTATGCAAGCATTCAGTGAGGGACAAAGGAAAAGAAAAAAAATGAAACAGTTGGAAAGAGTAAAGCAAAATGCTTTTGAACAATGGCATTTGTTCGAAAATATCTGAAAACAAACATTGTAAAATAAATTCTTAAGCTTCAAACACAATGTAAGCAACACTCGCATTGTAAATCATCACATTATCAATTGTCAAACGAATCGCTTTGAAAGTCGGTTAATTTCCAATGATAATTTACGAGCAAGGAAATGTGCATGAAAGAAAACGTCGTTAAAAATCAGGGCAGGAAGATAAATGCTTTTGAAGAGGGATTTTTTTTGCGCGCAGTGGATTTCAAGATCGTGGGTAAGAGAAATCGGGAAATTATAATAAATCATCATAATTGCGAAAAAAAAACAAGAAACAATGTGCTCCAGTCACTTTTCTACAAGTTCCTTCATCCGAGTAATAAATTTTTGTGTTCTCCTACAAAGGATATCTGCTGCTCGGAAAAAAAATTAGAAATAAAAAAATTAGCCAAACTCCGAGTAAAAGTAAAGTAACTCCGTTAACTCCGTTAGTAAAGTAACTCGGTTCAATCCGGCTTCAATGTAACAAACAAAAACTTGCATAATTTCTCGTTTAAATTAAGTGAGAAGAAAATTCAGACCATATTTTATAAAAGCATTTGATTTCCCAACAGTTTTGAAAAATTAATTTCTATATGAACTGCCCACTCAGAAAGTCACACTTACCAAGAGTGATAAGTTTCGTCCGAAAAGGTAAGAAAAATTCAAAGACAAGGACCACTCAATCTGAGAAGACTCCCCATTTCGACCTATCAACGAAGAAAAAACAGTGTGAGGCCTCGGGATTTTACATATGGTATACATGTAACAGGAATTTTGATGGTTGTACAAAACTGATCAACTAGTGAATTTCACGCCAATTTGTTGAAAAAATTTCCTAAAAATTTAGAAATTGAAAAATTCTGAATGAATTGGCTCACCTATAGACATAGGAACAGTTCGCGACGCTGCTGTAGTCGGTGAACAGACGGTCGGATGCCGTTGCTGAGCAGCCGCTGCGGCAGCGGCAGCAGCGGCTCCAAGTTGGCCCATAGTGGGCCCAAAATCGTTCGCATCAAAGGCATTAAGCATAGTGTACGGTGGGTGTAGATGTAGATTTTTTTAAGTAGTAGTTGGTGGATAATTATAGGAAGATGTAGAAGAGATGTGGATTTGTGTAATGATGATGTGTAGAGACTGTATGTGTGTGGTGTGTGGAGATAATAAAAAATAAATTTCGAAGATAGAGAGAAAATATGGTCGTTCGGGTGGGGGGCAAACACGCAACTGAGCGTCGCCGCTTTACAACGACAGCAGCAGCAGCAGCAGCCCAGCTTCGCGCACAGCGCTAAGCCCGACCCCTCGGACTATGCTAATGACGAGGCGGGGGAGGGGGGGGGGGGGGGGTGAGGCGAGAGCGGGGTTCGAGGCAGAGGTAGTGCGGTGGTACTTATGGCAGCGATGGTGTTGATGGTAGTGATGGTGGTGCTGGTGGAGGTGGAGGTGCGGTGGAGGTTCTGCCGCGATGGCGTCACCGACACAGACAGAGGCAGAAACAAACAGCACACAGCGCAGTAGAACGTCCAAACCCAAAACCGTACAGTATGGTCATGACAGGGTGCCACCCAGTCATCAACGTCATCGCGTCACACACTGATTCATTAACGATAATGCACGGCTGTAGCAACTCGTCCGAGGAAAAAACTTCAAGTCCCATTTCCGTGCCGAGAAAAAACGTCTCCTAGGAGACTGCCCTATAAGAACTTTAGCCACCAGCTCTTTACGTCGCTATACATTTTCTCACAGTTCAATGATTATCCACACCCATAAGTATAGTGTTTTCTGTACAGTGTTAGGAGCAGTCCGATTTGTTGATACAAAGACTAAAATCAATCAAAACCATGCAGTCGCCTCTCCTCTCGCTCTCGCTCGCTCCATCCCGTTCGTCGTCGTCTTCATCGTCAATGCACAGAGTTCTCGCACGTATATATTGACGAGACGAACGGTCGACAACGAATCAGGCTGAAATGATTGACAGTTGTGCGTGAAAAAAACTCTCTCTCTCTCACTCTCTGAAACGAACAGAAAGTGTGGGAAATACGCGACAACTTACTGAGTTCAGTTGTCACTTTACGGCGTTGAAAACTCTTTGCTCTGAACCTTTTACGAATTGACTAAAGCTCTAAACAGGCCGTAAAAGCTGATACTTTTTGCTTGTAAGTCGTAACCGTAAATGGAGTAATGCTCTTACGAAGATTTTTTTGCAAAACCTTAGTCAATTTATCCGTGCCATGCATATTGCCCTTGTAACGCTCTTTTATTCTCTCCCTAAACGGGCACAATTCATGATGCGAATAATGGCGAGGTCTTAAAAGCCCTAGCTAAGCTCGTAAACTGAAAAAAATGTCATCAGCTGGAAATCATAAAAGCTAGTCCATGATTGTAAAAAAAGAAGTCGTGAACGCGGTGAGTTTACTTTCAGTCCATTTTACTTTCCTGCTCTTTCCTATAATAAAAAGCCTGAAGTGAGCAAGCAAAATTCATTTTAGAGAAAAGAAAAAATTGAAAAATAAACTATCTTCCAGATTCTCTGAGGATTAGCTATTAGGGGATTAGCTATTAGTCGACTTCGGTCCATAATTTTTTGAACAAAATGCAAGGCCGCAAAATCCACCATGCCCGGAAATCTAAATGCTTACATGAATTAAATACGTGTTCTTGTTTATCGTTTCTTTTTTGAAAATTGGTTTTTTGAATATTTTTAGAAGGTAGAGCATTTGTATAAGAGGCATTAGAACACAACACACCTTCTAGTATTATTGAATGACTCAGAAAAAATTTCGTTAAGGTTTTAGAGGGTACTTCAATACGAATTTTATACTTCTTCACATTACAAATAAGGATTTCTCTCATAGTTTCTTCTATTTCAGATACACGAAACGTGAATTGTATTTGACCCATGTACAGGGTATCCTGAATCTCCAGACCAACTATTTCAGATTTAAATTGAAGATCCCTTTTCGATTTTTCGTGATGTGCGGTTCAAAGAACACCAAATCATCATAATGCGTTTTTATACTCCGTTTACATTATTTTATGTAGACCGGACAAGAAGACCAAGTTTACTTTTATGCGATCATGATTTCAACTAACTGGAATCCATAGTCTCAAAAAAACCAGGATATTCGGTAAAAAACAAAGTAATGCAAATGACAAGTTCGCACTTTGTCGATGGTTTGGAAAGACGAACGAAAAAAACAAAATGTCCCAACTTGTATTCCGAAATATCTGAGACTAAAACTTGAACGCCTTGTAAAGAGAATGCATTTTCCAGAAACTTGACAAGTCGACTTCCCAATCAATGCTCATTTCTAAAGATTAACTTAAGTGTCTCTAATGTGTGTTGGAATTTTTAGAAAACTTACCCACTTTGGACTTCGACTCCTTTTTGCAAGATGTTTTGCATTCGCCGTCATAGGTCTTTTATTCACTGCGTCTATCGCTGAAGAAACCAAACACATAATGGGTGCTGATTCATAAGTGAATGCATCGAATTATTTCCATTTGTCGTTTTACACATGAAATTGAATCGGTCAGAAAGATTGTAAAGAGCATGAATTAAGCATTACTAGCCGCGGGGTGTAGGCACAAAATTTACTATTTCATATTCACGATTATTTTCGTATGAATAAAAAAACTAAACCAAAGCCAAAATTAGAGTTCTCCATGTCCCCAGCTTTTTACCATAAAAGTTTAATGGCGTTTGTTTTACAACTACAGGCAAGCAGTTTTCTAGGTAAGTAAGTTCTTGACCCGGAAAGACCCTTTTTTCCTGAAGAAGAGGTAGAGGTACAAAGGGAAACTGGTTTATTGAATTAAGAGCAGCCCTATTGTTTGATGTTGGGCGTTCCAAAGTTTTGTTCTTTTTTTCAAATACTCTAAAAAACCCCAATGATAACAAAAGCATTCAAACATGTGATTGACGCATTTTTTGCAATGTTTTGTTTTTGGACCAAAATCTTTCAAATATTTCCAAATACCAAAATTCTTCACCCATAATTTCTATCAGCTAAAAATCCCACTAGTATTTACATTTCTAATTTCAGACTTTCAGACTAGGATGAATGTCAAACAAATGGAACAAATCCTGGTCTACACGGGAGTGCTTTCGCGATGTGGGTGTCTAGACTCTAGAGTCTTAAAAAAGCTTTTTGATCACCTCGATTTGTGATTGAATGTTGAAACATACGACTGCAGCAAGAACATGGATCCAGATTTTTCCGAAATGAATGTCATTAATCACCATTTGTGCAGGATATTCAAGTCCCTTTGAGAATTCAGTTTTTAAGAATTTCTGCGCACTCGAGCAGCCGAGGTTTTCCACATGAATGACTAATTGTAAGACAACTTTGAGAAATTGGGTAATTTGAAACAATTAAAATGTATTAGGTTGTTTCAAAAGTAAGTTTTTTTAGATAAATTGTTTTCTAGCAGATTTAGGTACCATTCAATGAAGCAAAACCTTGCTCTACAAAATGATCACCAAAGAACCACTTGAATTGTGATCCAGGTAAAGTTTGATGACAAAATCGAAAAAATTTTCTCACCTGAAAGTGGATTTTTGCGAAAAAGAATTCTACGAAGCTCGAAATTGATCACTCTACAGAGTATACCCTACTTTCCGGAGTACAAGGCTCACCTATGTATAAGGCGCACCTGTCGCGCGAACGTTAGCGCGAAAAGTGCACACTAGGTTTTGCGGCTTATACTGTGTAGTACATAGTACAGTACATAGTATTTGCGGTACATAGTATCATCAATGAATACATTTGTTCGAATTTTATTGCGCATAGAAATCGAAAAGAAAGTCCAAAGATGGCAAACTCCGCCCCGCTCTACCACATGTATAATTGTCTACTGCAAACTTTAATAATTATAATCTTGAAAAAAAATTTCTGTTTGTGCTCTTATAATCGAGGAATACCAAGCTTAATAAAAAAACCGAAAAAAGTGGCATTTTGGAACTATATTTGTTCCACAATTTTCAGCCGCGAAAAAGTTCAGCAAATAATTAATGAAACTACTGTATGTATACTGTATCATGACCAAGTTGAAGGTCCGTTTTGAGATTTTCGGAAAGAAGATCCTATTTTTGAAGTAGTCGAAAAAACTTACTTTTCGGCTTTCACCAAAATTACGACTTAGGTAGATCTTTGGCGGTCAGTATATAGAGCTTTCTTTACCCTATCGAATGATACCCCAAGTCTGCTAGAAAAACAAAAACAATTTGAATTCTTTAGAAAAATTTACTTTTGGGACAATCTTATAGCAAAAAGTTTATTTCACAATTAGCGGGAAGCTTTTGACATGTTGCTATAATTTCAAACAGCTGGTGTAATGTTGATGTCCCCATGAGTTTGCTCGAAGGTTCAAGTTAATAACTTCGTAACTGCATAAATCAGAATGGAGATAAAGCCAAGAAGAGAACAAAATTTCAGCAAATGAAGCCGCCTTAGTCATTTCCCTGACATTCGTTGAGGACCAAGTAACGGACAGAAAACTCCGGGAAAACCTCATTGGAATTAAGATTCTCCCAAGTTTAAGAGTAAATTAATTCTAATCATATACTTAGAATTTTCAGTTTTTTTTTCAGTTTTTTCGGTTTTTAAAAGAAAATCCCGGCGATTGCAGAGATTTTTATTCATCCATTAAATTTCAAAAAAAGGCCCATGAATTTAATGATTTATCAACCGAGTACGTAGAAAGGCTTCAAAAGAAACTAAATTCAAACCTTGTAGAATGATCTGTCAATTATAGGTACTACCTTTGGATTACCGTTGTTTACTCAGAGGCGCAGTTGTTCGTTGATCTTTCCTCGTAAAGACATTAGCAGATTTTTTGACATCCAAATAAAAAAATTAATGGGAAGATAAATTCAGCTCCGATATCGGCACTTCAAAGAGTTCGTACCACCGTAAACAACATGAATGCGTTCAAAGAGTTTTTCAGAGCTTAAGGATCATAAATGTTGAGTGTAGCAGTGTTCGTATTTTATTAGACTCCACATAAAAACTTACGGAACAAATATGTTGCACATGACTCCTGGTTTGCTATAGGGTTTCTAGAAGTATACTCAACGTACAAAGGGAAATAAATGGATCATAATTTGATAATCCAGCGGCATGACTCAATATCTATACTGGTTGTACACTGAGCTTTACACATCTATCGAAAAAAAATTTTTCTAGAAGCCTACAACATTTGAAGAAATCTTAAACTCTTGTACTGCTCTTGTACAGCTGCCATTTATTTACTAAACGGTCTTTCACAAAGAAACGGTCTTGCATGCACCTTGCAAGTTCTTATTTGCAAAAAACTAGCATTACAAGATTTGCTATAGAGTACGCGACCAGCTGTTCGTAAAAATAATTGTAACACCTAATGATTAGTTGTTTTCGGCTTATTACAACGATAACAGCGTTAAGACTCGAGCTGACTTGAAATTCAACACCAAGTCCAATGAGAACACCAGCTTACAGTGATTACTGCAGAACATAACCTTGGCCATAGAACCATTTCCGAGAGTAGATGATGAAAAAAAATTGCTGGCAAATGGTATACGTTAGGGTGCAATAAACCCCAATTGCGTCAAAATCAAAGAAAACATTAGAGCGCATTTGTTCGTGAAAAACCAATAAGCAATAAATGCGAGGGAGTAATGATGAATGAAGCGGGTTATCCATTGTATGAGATGACGACAACAGAAATTTTGAGAAAGAGAGGGGCAAAAGAGAGAGAGAGAGAGAGAAGAGAGAGAGAGAGAGAGAGAAAAATAAAATTTTGCTTATGAACTATTAGGATGCTTCCAAAATCTTTGCAAGGAAACTAAAAAAAAAAAAACAGAGAGCACAGCCGTTCGCCCACAAATTTATTTCCAAAGTGTTTTATTAATTAAATCCACGATTTTCAAGTTATTCAATCAAGCACAAATTACCTGCTTGAATTCACCATAAATAGTCAACTATAAAAGTTTGCGCAGATTCTATTTCCTTGTAATCATGGGCAGTTTGAGAAAAAAAGAGTTGTATCCGCGCTCTTTGCAACCAACATGTGCAAAAAATGTAATTTTTGATATTTATTGAAGAGGGAATTTTCAAAACAAGAGAGATTGGTAATTCAAAGCAGATTAGATAAATAACTCCATCAAACCAAGCAGCTCCAACCTCACAGACCCCAGCAAGCACAACAATGACGTTTTCACTCAAACATTAACAAGAACAATAATCATAATTAACAATCTGTTCAATAAATATATTGAGAAAAGGAAGTAGAAAGTCATCGGTACAATATTATAAGATTAGATCTGTATCCCTTATATGCGTAAACAGTTACATCCTGGAAACTTATGCAATTGTCGTTTCTGCAAACTTCCGCGCAAGGGCAACAGCTTCGTCTAGCCTTTCGATATTCTCACCAGTAGCCTAAATCAGAGCCTAGATATCCGACTGAACTACTACTGGAATTTTAGGAATTTTGATTGAATAAGTTCAAGATTAACAGTACAATCTATCGAAAAATCGTTAAATTTCCATTTGACACGTAAACGTTGAGGTTACCTGTGCGTTTGCATCTTTTCCTCCGCCTCGTCCACCAAGAACAGTACATACTTCATTAACCCACTGATTAGCCTTCAAGCCTCCTTCGATCAAAGACTAAAATGAACTTTATTAGTCCAGTCCAAATTCCAAGAAAATGCAGATAAGAAGAAAAACCAATTCTCGCCTACCTTGTCAACTTTGGCAAGCACTAGCACTTTTCCGCTCTCCTCGTTAACAGAAAAACCCATGACTGCTTTTGTGGTCTTGAATTGTTTCAAAGCATTGTCAAGTACCTGCAAAATGATATGAAAACTATGGCTTAGAAAAGGTGCTGGTAGAACCAACCTTACTACTGGCACCAGAAGAAAAGACATGAACTAGTACATCCTGATGGTCGCCTTGCGCCAGCTCTTTTGCTTCTGACAGGACCTAAAATTGGAAAATAAGAACTCGGAGAACTAGGAAAGAAATCACTGTGATGCCGATGGTTAGATAAAGTACCTTCTCAGCCACAGCTGCGTCAGCTAACTTCTTATATGAATCAAGGGTTTTCTGTGCTGTCTTGCATTGTTCGCGGATAGCATCTTTCCTCCAGTAAGGTAACATTGCACCATTGATTTCCTAAGAGGGACGATATTTGGGCACATAAATAACAGTTTGGCCATTTTTTAGCACAAAAAACTTACATCAATGAGCTCTTGTATCCGCTTCGCTGTGGTCTTGAACTTTTCAGCATCCAATGCTGCACCTTTCAATGCAGCTACTTCATCAGACATAGCCTAAATGAGGTACTATCGAGAAAGAAGAAAAAATCTATTGAAACAAACTGTAAAAAATCGCGTTTAGCTGAAGTAGAAAAATAGAATGAAATGAACAAAAGATCACAGCTACCTGTGCTCTTGTAGCAAGCCGGTCAGCACGAGCAATGGCTCTCTCCGCTTCTGGACCCGTTAGCGCGACTATTCTTCTGATACCTTTAGCTATAGCTTCTTCCGATGAAATAACCAGATTGCCAATGTGGCCAACATTTTGAAGATGACTGAAATTCAACAACGAGTTTGATTTATTCCAAAAATGACACGCCACTAAAAATTTGAATCTTCAAGTAACTCACGTTCCTCCGCAAAATTCTACGGTAGTCTTCAAGCCGGCTTCACTTTTGGGATCTTCCAGTAGTTTCTCTACAGGTACCCCAACACATACTACTCTTACAGGATCCGGGTAGTTCTAGAATACGATGGCTTACTATATCGTCACTTCATATGACGCAGCACAATATATACCTCATCAAACATGGCTCTCAGACCATTGATTTCGCGTGCTTTAGCCAGAGGTGACTCTTTGGCGTATACTGGCTCATGCGTCTTGATTATTTCTTGACAAATGTCCTCAGCTTCTTTCACCTAAACAGCAAAACAATGTTAAATCAGCCAAAAACATCGCAGACCTACCTGCTTGACAGTCATTGCGTGCTTGTTGGTAAAATCAAATCTGAGTCGATCTGGTGCCACAAGTGATCCTTTTTGATCCGAATCCTTCAACACACAACGAAGAGCATGGTTAAGAACATGAGTTCCGGTGTGATTCTTCATAATCAAAAATCGCCGGTCCTAAAACAATGTGCACTGAGATGAGAGAAATACTATGCTTTTACTGAAAGAAGCTGAGAGCTATCCACTCACCTCGTCAAATGTTTGCGAAACCTCGTCGCCTACGGAAAACTTTCCATTTGATGAACCCACAAGCACGATATAACCACCTCGGACTTGGCAATTCGAAACAACAAATTCGTTGCCCTAAATACCAATCACCACCACTTTCTTTTCAATTTTTGGCACAAACCAACCTCTTCGTCGACTTTGCTGAGTACTCCTGTATCATATATCTGACCTCCTTGTTCGGCATAGAAGTTTGTCTTATCCAATAATATTGCACCTTCAACGCCAGATTCAATGGAATCCACGAACTTTCCTTCGCTTCGAATGGCAAGAATTTTGCCGGTGCATGGCGCAAAAGCTGTGACAAAATATGATTGAAAAACGGCCTTGAATATCAATGGATCCGCTCACTATATTTGACTGAACCATCGGTGGTTCCATCATTTTGGTACTTATACTTGGGTGAGTCATCTGTAGGAGGTATTCCTCTCTTTTGCAGTTCAGCAATGGCATGCACATCGAGATCAAGAGTATCGCGAAACTTGCCAGTTCCGGCTGCAGACAGCTCCTAGAATATCACAAGCGATGAGATATAAGTATTCTGCTGCAGAATATATGTAGAAACTAACAACAGCTTTCTTTCTGCATTCCTCAAATGCATTTTGATCGATGGTAAGACCCTTTTCTTCTGCCATTAGTTGAGTAAGATCAGCAGGAAAACCGTAGGTGTCATACAATCGCCAAGCAACATCGCCTGAACAGCGAAATGACGTGGTACGTAAGGAGAAATCAAAAATAAAAGTTGCCGGACAATAAGTGTTTTGTGAGAAAAAACTCCGCTAACATTTGAAAAATTCAAATGAAAACATGATTGTTTTTCACGAAAACTTCTGAAAATATCAGCCAACGACGTTCAAAAAGCCACGAAAAGAGACTGGAGCTGGCACCAACTTACAAACGATACAAAACGTCGAGAAGATAGCAAACAATGGCGATTAAGCTTGAAACAATGCAATAAAAAAAATAATACTTTTGAAGCTCACCGGGGAATGTTTTCTGTTCAGCGCCCATGCCTGCCACAGCTTTCTGGAAAAGTGCACGGCCACGGTTCAAGGTCTTCAAAAATTGCTTTTCTTCATCATTTATGATATCTTGCACAGTCTCTGGGTCTCGCCGAAGCTCAGGGAATGTATCACCCTAAAAATATAACATCATCTTCATAGTTATTGCAAGATAACAATGATGTACCAAGATATCTATGACAACAGGAACAAGGGAGGCAAAGAACTCAGGCTGAGCATTGAGTTTCTCAGTGGCATAGCGGACACCTCGGCGAAGGATGCGACGCAGGACATACCTAGACAATCACAATGACCTTTGGACCCTTAAAGTAAAGTCGCAAACTGACCCTCTACCAGTGTTATCCGGCCGACCCCCGTCAGAAAGAGCTATGGTCAATGTTCTTATGTGGTCAGCAACTACTCGGTAGGCCATATCCACGCCGTCAGTATCATCTGCACCTACTTTGCCCGTATACTCACGGGTACCGGTACCCTGCAGCAAACTTTATAAGTTCTGTAGGAGGCAAAGTAGGAGAATAGAACGCTACCTGTTGTATAGCCTTGAAAATGGGCTGGAATATATCCGTATCATAATTGGAAGTTTTCTGCTGGATCACTGCGATCAGTCGCTCGAGTCCTAATCCGCAGTCAATGTGTTTCGACGGAAGTGGCCGTAAAGCACCGCCTTCTTCCCTCAAAAGCAAGCATAATATGACACATGGGAAGTTATCAGAACAAATGGGCCAAAAGGACAAAGACAACCAAATATTCGCAATAGATCATAAAGAACTATAAAAAAGGAAAAATCAATCAGAAGAGCGAGCTCACCTGTTAAACTGAATAAAAACAAGATTCCAAATCTCAACCACCATCGGATCATCAGCATTCACAAGATGTGAAGCATCGCGGCCGCCAACACGATCGTAATGAATTTCAGAGCACGGGCCACACGGCCCTACGTCTCCCATTTCCCAGAAATTATCCTTCATGCCGAAGGGCAAGATCCGGTCGTTAGGAAGTCTACAAACAGAACTCGCATAACCTATCACAGAGCAAAGTATAGAATCTACCCTAGGCTTGACCAGATGCTTCTAGCTTCTTCATCCGCAGGAATTCCAGCCTTTTCATCGCCACCAAAGTATGAGACATAAAGACGATCGGCAGGTATGTCATACACTTCCGTGAGAAGTTCCCAAGCCCATGTAATGATTTCTTTCTGTAATCCATTTGCATAGTTCCTAGCAAACCTAGTAATCCAAGCTTCACCTTGAAATAATCTCCAAAAGACCAATTTCCCAGCATTTCAAAAAATGTGTGATGGTAAACGTCTTTTCCCACATCATCCAGGTCATTATGTTTTCCACCTGCTCGGATGCATTTCTGCGTGTTGACCGCACGTTTCAGCTTGGCGAGATCGCTGTTGGGATCCGCAACGCCAAGGAAAAGTGGTTTGAACTGGAAAAGACAATATCTAGTAACGCAAACGTCTATAAAAGCAAGAAGAAACAAATTTGTCCATGAAAATCATGAAAACAGAAAAAATGAGGAGAAAAGCTATTACAAAATCGAAATGCTAGAGAAAAAAGAAAAACAGGTTAATCAAAATTGAACGTGCCTGATTCATCCCTGCATTAGCGAAAAGCAAAGTAGGGTCATCGTGTGGTATGACAGAAGAGGAATGCACGTATGTGTGCGCTTTCTTCTGTTTGAAAAACTCGATGAACGTAGATCGTACCTAAACGATCCAAATCAAGCACGCGCTCTGAAACTCATCAGCTCACCTCATTTGCAGTTAACTGTTTCATCTTCAGCGGCTATAGTGCAGGACTACTGTGTAACCCTAGAATAAGCGATTAGAAGAAAAAAATGATCATAAGTAGGTACAAAAGTGAGCTGGTAGGCAGGAAGAAACCATGACAAAGCAATGCAAAACAGATTTCATATGTTTATACCTATCAACAGATAACAATGAACAAACAAGCAAAGACTACTACGTCTACTTTGTACAAATACATTATCATCTCAACTGTATACCAGCTTCTTTCATTCGTTCTTCTGTTTTTCGAAAAAGCTCTTCTTGTGATAGATTCTTATCTAAACCAGGGTTTATGATAGCATCAACTCAACCAACAGAGGACATCAAGTATGCAGCCAACCTTTATTTTCGGTTTGAATTGTCTCGAACTCCTTGATAAATTGCTGCGATAAGCTTTCCCTTGGGTTTTCCAGATTTATAACACCTCCTCGGTATTTTTTATAGAATTGTGCTCTAACTAAGTCTTCGTTGTAGAATATTTTCCGCACCTAAAAAGGTTTTCATAGCTATAGTCTGCCTCAGGGACAACTCCCTGACACATCTGCAACGCAATCATCCGCCCTTTAGCCTTTAGTTTCTGGGTGAGATGCTTCATGTGATGAGTCGAAAGCAAGCAACAGCGTGCGATGCAAATGTACCGGTAAATCGTCTCAGAACTAACACACAGACTATATTAAGCAATAATCTGCGTATATGAAGTGAGGAAAGAAAGCTCAAAATTCAGACTCACCGGCTCATCGTGTCTGGCATGTTTTACATTCCAATCATGGGGTTCCAAAGGTTGATGTGCGACGTAGACATCATACCTGGAAAGAAAAATCAACACTGTGAGAGCTGCAGAAAGTGTCAAAAAGTAAAGTAGTAAAGCGAGGAAAAACACTGCAAACAAACTCGATAAATCAATGTGGCACCAAAAAAATTACAAAAAATGACGCAATCAGTCAACTCACCATAAAGGCCTTTCTGCCCAAGGTAGTTGACCAGATCTGATCAGTCCTGTCACTCGGTAGAATATATTCCCTGATCGTTCAGCTCTTGTAAATGATGACGCCATATTGACGCTTCAAAAACGAATTTAAGAAAAGTGGAGGCAATAGTTGGCAAAACTGGCGCATTTCAACGAGTTAGTCCGCGATTGCAGACTTTTGCGGTAGCGACCGTAAAAATTGCAGTGACGCATCCAAGGGTTCGCTGAAACGATTTAGGCTACTTTCTGAAGCATTCAAAAGCGGTGATGTTTATAAGTACACCCATGTCTCCATTTACGGCGAGTTTGACAGTTTTTTCGCGCATGCCAGCGCGGGTTTTCCTCAATACGTGTAGATGGTGCAATCGCACCAAAGCTCAAACTTCCGAATGTTTGCCTGTCGATTTAGTCACTGCCTTTGCTCTCTCGGGACAAAACGCTTAAAATGTCGCTGGACAACGTCAAAAGGCTAAATTTATGCACTCTGGTGCAATTACACTGATTAATGAAGTGATGGGGCAACTATAAAAGGAGTATAGCCCTCGTAATCACTAGACTCTCGAGAAAAGTCGCGGTACTTTCCCGAAAGAAATTTATATTTCTAGGTCACATCCGGTGCAATTACACTAATCAGGTAATACAGTAATGAGGGCAACTTTAGAAGGAATAACTCACAAAGAAAGTTACGGTACTTTCCCGATAGATAGTTATAATTTTAGATCAACAACACCTCCTTTCGATACAAGAAGCCTACTTTTACTTGCGGAAAGAAGAAAGAGCGTCCAAGTCGCCATCTAGGATTACAACGGAGGTGCGAAGCCCTCCGTTGTTCGTTTGTTTCAGAGTGACCGCGGCGCTTAGCGAGAAAGACACGCTCACAGTGATGCTTCCACTCGTTGCATTCTACTATTCTATTTGCACATTCGCTCAGCTTTCGTGACCTCACTACTGTCCAAAACGTTGCTTTATTGGTTCGTGTTCCAATCTACGATTTTTACAGCCTAGTTGGAGCAGCTCACTTATTTTTCGGGTTCCATTTAGTGATGAAAGGCGCAGTTTTTTTTTCGATTAATGATCCCAAGCACGGTGATGAAACCGCGAATAGATGACAAATGTTTTTGGAGCTTTTCCTATCTCTTGCATCTCGCCTCCCCTTCATTTCTCTCCCCGGTCCTCTATAAAAGATCTTCTCCATAGACTAGCAACAGATGTTTCAAGACATATACGACAGTGCCCTCCCCCCCCCCCTGCCGAGAAAGGGTCGCGAAATTCTTGAAATTTACATGGGTACCCTTTTACATGGCTTAGAGAAAGATACAAGTGATTTGTTTATTTTTGTAAATGAATAAAATGGTTTTTAAAATTTTTTAAAAATTCAAATCATATTGTAAAAGGATTTTTTTTCGTATATAGGCCCGCAAAAATTTTGAGAAGCATCCCAAAAATTTTTTCGAGTGCCTGGCTAACGCTCGACCATCATTTGAAAATATTTTTTTGCCTCCCATCTTCCCTATTAGTCCTGGGACAGATATTGATATACAACGGTAGCAGACATTTTTACTGCAAAACCCACTCTTATTCTATTCGCATCTGCAAGAAAGGTCCCCAAGAAAATTGAGCTTCACGTATTTTCCATGCAGCTCAGAGATGTTATCGTTCAACGCTAAATCTTGAAAGCGGAGATCAAAGGTTTAAAGAGCAGTTTTCTTTTTTCAAAAAATCCGTATTTTCTTTCCCTTTTTCAGAAATCCTTTGTTATTGTGTGCACTGAGATGTTAAAATCATGCTATTTCCGACAGAACTGTTAGAACATTTCATTTCTTAAGTGAAAAGCTTCTCGTACAGGTCGAACCATAGAACCTTACAGCGGAAAAAGTTAGTTTTCCGACAATTTTGATTTTTCTTGTTACAACCTCAACTTTTAGTGGTTGACACGAACATCATCCTTGAAGTTTCTTACGCTTTGAATAATAGATGTAAATCACTTTCATTTACTTCATATTGTCTTTCGACTGTCCAGGTAATCGCGATAGAAATGACATTCAGAAGATTTGTAGAGGATGAAACTGCATTCCACACGATTTTCTCAAGTTGCCAAACATTCTGCTCATTTTCTTCTATTCTTGTTGTTTTTTCAAAGAAAGCCCACTCCGTCAACTTTCAGCTTAACTTCAGCAGATCCCCAATGATTGGTCGTCACATCTGCTGTGATGTACTTGTCAACGAGCATTGAACTTTTGCTTATGATTTCGGTCCGGTCATTGTTAAGCCTTTTAATAATTTTACATTTTGTTCTGTACTTTCAAAGTCATAACTTATCTCGAATCAAACTATCATTTGATATTTTTCTTGAGTAGCGGTTTGGAAACGATCCAAGGGTGAAGATTTCAAGTGGTTATTTCGCACCCTTTCTGAACAGTTGCGAACATTTTTCGCGAACTAATGGATGTTTGCCCGCTTCTCCCTTGCCGAAAAAAGCTCGTTTCAGAGCAAACGAGCACATTGTCGTCTTAGACAGTCATAAAAGAAATCACAACATTTTCCTTCGCAAACTCCCTAAACTAAGTTTTTTTTACTACTCACTCGGACTGCTTCAATGTTGGAACTCATAAAAATCTACTGTTACTATTTACAGTTACTACATTACACTCTTCTTCCTTACGTCAGTAATATCTCAGTTTAAAAAGTAATCAAATGTTGTGCATGCTACATGCCTCTCCGTCTATATATATACCATTTGATTCAATTGGCTTGGCTTCGGAAAGGCGGGGCTTCGTGACCTAATTAAGGCTAGGTGATGATCAGAGAGCACTCGCGCGAGAGAGACGCAGGTGCGTCGCGGGCGCGAACGGCCTTAATTAGCTCACAGAGCTCCGCCTTCCCGAAGCCAGCCACTTGAATCAAAGGTTATAAAAATCAAAGTTTATGCAAATCTTGACCGTATGTGTTATTTATAGACTCCTTTGCGCGTGAATCGATTGAGCTGAAATTTTCCACACAGATATTTCCGACCCCTACATGATTTTAGGCTACCTTTTGAAGCGATTCGCTGAATCTTTCTTCTATTGATTTATTGACTTTCGGCATTTTGCGATGAAAATAAAGTCTTAATAACCACTACAAACCCCTTGCACATTTTGGCGTAAACAATAGCAGAGAAGACCATTTTGAATTTTAACAAGAAGAACGCGGTAGAGCTAACCGGTTACAGTTTTTCTGTATCTAACGACAAGTTTTTGATAACCACTTCGCTTACGTGGAAATGCATTCAGCTCCATGAGAGTGCGGAGCCATATTTAGTTCCCTGTTTGTAAAATTTGCAAATTTGAACGTCAAAGCGGAACTTTTAAAGGGCTTTCTAGTGCAGAAGCTAGACAATGAAGGTAACGCTATTGATTTCTGAATTAGGACTTTCGGATATACTACTTGAAATGTCATGCATGTAGATTCCATAATTGATAAGAATCTTGGAATCAACCTAGAACAGCCGGGCAAAGCCGGATACAGCGGCTAGTATCTTATATAATAGAAGCAGTCGTTTGTTATTGGAAAAAAGGAAACCAGCGATCTGCATGCAAATTTATTGTCAACGTAACAGTTTGTATTTCGCTGTATTCACTTTCACTTCAGTTCTCAGCCACATTTCTAAATCCTGAGTTTCGGTCACCTCATTCTGAGACAAGAGCGGTTTGCCTACACATGAAGGGGTAGAGGACTACATGTCTCCGAAAGGGGGCGGTCCCCGCGGTCATTTGCAACAAATACGCACGCTTGCATACAGTCTGCCCCAATCCCAACCAGGCCAAAATTGGCATGGCGGGAACCCGTGTTGCGAAGGTATTGCGTCACGTCTACGGCTAGCCAGTCTGCTCTCTCATCAATTTCTTCGCTCTCTGCGACGGCGCGCGTATGCAGCGCAGACTCCTAGCGTTGCGAGCGCGCAAATTCAGCTAGCGGTTCGGCCTGATCCCGATTTGGGCAGACTGTATGCGCGTAGATGCGTTCGTGCAGGAAATCCGCGCGGGACCCTGCAGTCAGCGACATATATTCCTCCATCCCATATGAAGGCAAAATACGTTACCTAAACGAGTAATAATGTGCTCATTAAGCTCTGACTCAATCCAAGCTTTTCGTTACTCCCACTGAGTTTACATGGGTATTGTAAATGAAACCATCTCTGATTTATATGACCTGTTAGACTGTTAGAATACATACTTTCAAATTGTTTCTACCTGTGTAAACAAATCTTTTTTGTTTACTTTTCATCCCACACAAACGTTGCCCTGCTTCCAACGAGTGTAATGTCTACAAATTCTTCATTTTTTTACGTCGCCGCTTGAATGTAAAGATGTTCAGTAGATTTATTATTTATTTATTTATTTGGTACGCACAACCAACCAAAAACGAAGCATCACACAGATAATAGCAACAACCAAACAAAAAAAAACAGGCAAACACCACACTGAAACAACTCAAGTTCAGCCCACAAAATATTTTTTGCAATAGAAAAGTATCGAGCTTGTTTGAACAAACATGAAGTCATCACCGGTATAGAATTTCAATAGAGTCTCTTTCATGCCCCTGCTCTTAGCAAAAACACTCATATTCAAACATAAGTAACTGTATGTGTTGGATGCAGGTGTGCTGGTAGTAATAATGGTAGAACCCGCCCAACCAATTTTTGAGCAGAAACCAGAACTTCGAGAAAAGAGATTACACAATGCAGAAAGTTTCAAGCCGAACAGGCTATCCCAAACATCAACGGAAGTGAAATGGAAGTGCACGCAAACCAACGCCTAAAATCTAAAAGTGCTAAAAACGCCAAACCTCGTATAGCAACGGGTGAACCATGGTTCATGAAGAGGTGGAATCTGATCTAATATAAACAAAAATCCAACAAAAAATCATTCTTCACATTCCCTCGACCACAATCAGCCCAGAGTGAACACCTGATGAGACAGTTGGAGGCGCATGCCAGGACAGAACCGGCCAAATGAAAACGATAGTGAAGCATGGACAAAAGCGAGGATTAGTTCAACTTATTGTCCGTTTACGTTCAAGACAAAAAGAACAACTCAGGTATTATTACCCGTTTGAAAGAAATATGTGCATTGAGTATCTAATCTTGTTTTCATGCTAAATAGAAAAACATTTTCTGAAATCCTTCTATAGCAACGAGAATGGTAAATAATGTCAATTCAAATGATTTTCTTCGAGTTGATATAGAGTAATTTGTTCTCCCCGTTTGTATATGTAATACATCGAGTAAGATCAGTAGATTTCTTAATGATTATCTTGCATCACTTCTGGAATGCTGGCAAACATGGTAAAGCAAAAAATGCGTATATATTGAAAAAGCTAGGAGAAAAGTGAGGACGCAAAAAAAAAATCAGGAAAACTAGAAGAAAATGGATTTGCAGATGCTTCTTGTTGTTAGTACATATGATTCAAATCTCATAGTATCAAGTGTCTTCTATTAAAACAAATAATTTTATTTTATTAGATCGAGTTATTTGTATCAGTTCTTGTGAGTAGATCTCAGTAGTGTTAACTCTGTGAAAACATTTTTTTCGGATGCTAAGCCGCGCCTCTTCTCCAACAATTTTTTTTATCTTCCCCCCGCCTCTCTCCCTCCCCCCCCCCCCTCCGCCTCCTGCAAATATCTTGGACTGTGGTAGTGACTTATTCCCTGCATTCAATTGAGCACCGTCATAAATTCTTAAAGGGTTGTCTCATAATTTTTTCAGAGGAAGAGAAAATGTGCAGCGATGATTACAAGGCGGCAAAAAGCGACGAAGATCTTGTGTTTTTAGGCTTAAACCGTAATAATGGGTCACTCCGGAATTTTCTCTGTTTTTATTAACCTTTTACCAATTTCCGCAGGAGGAAAATTGTAAAAGACCATTTATGTGGCTGCTTTGTGAGATGGTATACGCAAAAGTTGGTCAAAGAAACACAATTCTTCTAGGCGACTATGTACTTATTAGATTTTCAAAATCCTGTTGTTCGCTTCCTGACAAAAATCTTTTCAAACCATGAAAGCAACAAAATTCTTGAAACAATGTTCTGCTAGAAGATCCCAAAGCAATCCCGCAACTCGTGCACAGTGGCACCGAACGAGAAGAAAAAAGCTGCGCACTTGGCGTGGACAGGTAAGAGCTAATCTGAAAATATGACATTGGGAAGAAAACCTTGAGAATTCCTCTTCTTCTATCGAAAGTGCGCCTACGGTGCATACGTAACTGTTTTTACACTCCAAGCGCTAACCACTCGGCTCTCGATTTACTCCTCAGCTGAATCGCGCGTTCGGGTGCTGTAAAGTATGTGGGAGGTGGTCGACTCACAGCCACTGCATGAGCTTTTCCTTTCGTCTCTTGAATGAATAATAATAAATTTCTGCCCCTTGCTCTTTGTTCTTTGAAACAAAAGAATCTATGAGTCATTCCGACGATGAACAATCTCTGTAATACATGAGAATAATGCGCTGTGGTTCTCGTTTTCGTAACAACTCTCAAAAACTTCATTAGTGCCATAAACCTTGAGATTATTGTGCCCTTGTTTGTTTTTTCTATAGAAATGTAATCGTCTTCAGAAAGTTAAATGGTTGAATATGTTATGGAGATTCAATATCATGTTGTGGTATTGTGTTCTGTTTTCTTACACTTTTAGAAAAGCATTTTCACACGATGTTTTTTCTTCTTCTTTTTGAGACAATTTTTTTTGGTTTTTGCGCATTAATTCGAGATAGTAAGTTTCAATTTGGCATTAGTAGGTAGTAACACCTCATTTTTGACACCTGCTACGTCTCCTTGATTCCATAGACTATTTTACTGCCGTTTACTGTCCAGCATGTCCAGGCAAAAACTCGTCCTTGCAACAGTTGGCGCACACTCTAGGAACCATAGGCCCATTTTTCCTTTGTTTTTTGGTCTTCTTTGCTGACTCATGAGGGTGAGGCTAATAAATTGCAACAATAGTGGAATCGTAAACTTAGTTTTTTGTATCAGTAATTTTTAAAAGATTAACGAATAGGATTCTTGGCCAGTGGTCACTTTTATTATGACAATTACAATATTGCTAAATTTGAAATATGGCTCTGTGCTTATTCTACATAAGCGCGAATTAATTTTTTCTTGTTCTGGTTTATATTTCGTTCGCTGATCAATAGATATCAAACTTGGATGCCTCTTACAGAGTAAAAAAAAAGATTTTCGTTTCACTGACTTGCAGTTACGACCGATTTAACAATAACAAACTTTTTTCAAAATTGCTCTGTGATTATTTTTATGGTAATAAGTAAGTTTTGCGTGGGGTGGCCATGCATTTTTGTAAACATGTGGGACTTTTTTATGCGACACACGTGCTGCGCGAAAAAAAAACCATGCGCTTTCTGCAAATTCATGCACTTCAAAGAAGATCGCAAAATTACGTGGAAAGTAATTTTGGGGCCTTAACTAAGGCACTGCCCAAGCGGCAGCGCAGGTAACTCTCCAACGGCTGATATATACACCTCCAAACGGGACCTCAGGATCGTATTTCGCATGGATTCATGGCGCAACCATCAGTTTCGCGTGAGGACCCACGCGAAAACGATGGGTTGTGCCATGAATTCATGCGAAATACGATCCTGCGGTCCAGTTTCGAAGGAAATATTTCAGCCGTTAATACAATACCTGAGCTGCCGGTTGGGCAATGGCTTGGTTAGGGCCCCAAAACTATTAGGTTGGCACGAAAGTTCTGTCGCACCATTTTCATAAGTTCATAGCTTCTGATTTTATTAACCGATTTGATAGCTTTTATTTTTGTATCAAAGAGTAAGTCATGCTTTTTATAAAGGCATCTTAGCTGCTTGCTAATCTCTCTTGCATAGATAGGAGCGGTAGAAGAAAATTAGTTAAAATTAGAGTTTTTTGTGTAGGTTCATAAAAAATCGGAGACTTGCAACAAAAATCGGAACAGTCGGTATTGTAGGTTCTTTCACCAGCTCTTTCTAACAGTGCAAAGTTTGCGCCGATTGAGCGTCTCTATGAAAAGTTATGATTTTCTAAATGCCAAAATAAATCAAATTCGCCCTTCTGTATTGCTTGCTCGAAAATCATAACTTTTTATAGAGACGCTCAATCGGCGCAAACTTTGCACAGTTCAAAAGAGCTGGTGAAAGAACATATAATACTTACTGCTCCGATTTTTGTTGCAAGTCTCCGATTTTTTATGACCCTACACAAAAAATTCGACTTTTGACTGATTTTTTTCTATCGGTCCTATCTGAGCAACAAATGGTCATTAGCAAGCAGCTAAGATGTTTTTATAAAGAGCATGACTTACACTTTCATAAAAAAATGAAGCAGTCAAATCGATGGGAAATATCAGAAGTTATGAATTTTTGAAAATGGTGCGACAGAACTTTCGTGCCAACCTAATACTATCTACGTGAGGTCCCCACATGTTCAGATTTGCCTGGACGTTGCCTTTGAACAAGGCTGGTAAAGATAATATGATTTGAATACGGAAAAATATCGAGAACCAATTTACGTTTTTCCTTTCACTGAAGAAAAAAGACAGGAATGCAACATCTTCTCTCATAAGTTTTTACTAGCGAGCCAGGTATTCTATGACTGAGAAATCGCTGACGAAAGAAACTATTCTAACAGTCGTCTATCCACGCCTTTTTAAATGATCGCAAAGTGTACACCATTTTAATTCTCTCTTTCCTATATTTTTTTGGAAATCTGATGTTACGCTTCTTTTCCTCTTTTCTCTTGAAATAACGACTTACAAGGAATTTTGTGTTTGCTTTACGTTGAGAAGAGCTTTTTTGTGCGTTCTCAAAGAATCTTTTTTCAATTTTAGAAAAAATGCACGAGCCACGTTATGCAACGCACGAGCCACGGTATGCAACTACGACTACAGTTGTAGAGACTACAGAATACATGGCACCAAGCGACTCGCCAACCTATGAGGTAAAAATCATCCGATTTTTGAAATCTTCTTTCTTACCCATCTTTCAGGTTACCGTCCCAAAAGCAGATTGTTCATACTTACGAACACTTGGTGGGATAATGAAATGTGTTTGCATAGGATTGTGTTTTCTCACATTTCTTTGCGTTTTGATAGGAGGACCCGGCTACTACACAGGTAACTTGATTACCTTGATGATTTTACAAACAGTTTGAGGTTTCAATACCGGTTTCACCTAATCCTCCATAGACTGTTGCTTTATTTACTCTTTGCCATTTACCCCAGATTAATCATTACTAATTGATATTTACGAAACTACCTATGTTACTAAATTAAAATGAAAATTTATTATGCTGTAATCATTGTAATTGATACGAAGTCCGGATCCTCAATTTGCTCAGCTGTTCAAATATAAAAAATTCTGTGCATACTTTGCATTTCATCAAGATCGGTCAAGTTCGCTCGTGATCACTGGCTCCTAGAACTGCCTAAAGCTTTGCTGTTGTGGTGAAGGGAAGAATGGAGAAAAGGGCATTGGGTGCGAGGGTGGGGGGAGAGACAGAGGGAACTAGTGCCAGGAATGTTCCAGGAATGACAGTATCCGTCGGGTCAGCTTTAGAAATACGCCCATAGTTCTCGGGAAATTCTCAAATCTGGAGTAATCGCAGAATATCCTGGGGAACTTCCCTAGCGTTTTTTAATGAGTTCCTTTTTCCAATCTTCGCACATTTTAACGGCAAACAAGGTCTTGGGTAGCTCCACAAGTATTACTGTTTCGAAGCTTTTGTAGAAACTTTGGAGTGCAACGTAGGATTTGTTTGTCCACAGAGACAGTTCTCTCACAACGATGTGTTAGAAGATGTATATAATTATTTCGTACAACCAACCGCAACATGTCTGCCAAATGCAGCTTGTGTGAGACTAATCCTATGCAAAAGCAGTAGCTTTTTTTCCCAAAATTCAGGGCTACATGAACGTCTAACTTGGCGTATGCGGGAGAGGATTTCTGTCTTAAGCAAAGGTTGTCTATTCAATTCCTTTGAAACTAACCATAAAAGAAAAATAAGGGCTGCCGTGAAAATTGCGCATATATGATCGCACGTTAAATTTTCTTTTCTAGGCGCTGGATGGGCTACATTTGTCTCTTCAGTAGGTTTGTGCATTAGCACAACGCTATTGTTTCTGTATGTATTCCGAGTGGTTGATGCTCTTCCACAAGTGCCTTGGATCGTAGGAGTGAGTTTCTTCCTTTCAGCGCACCGCTCTTTGAAAAAAGAAATGTTTTATTGCAGGAAATGTGTTTCTATTTCGCCTGGACTATCTTTTTCTTCATTGCGGCCTCTGTGTTGGCAGTGGCAGCGGCACGTTTCAAGGCTACAGGCGGCTGGGCCGTGGCAGCGGTTTGTATTAACTTGTTTCAACAAAGAAAAATCTATATATATATATATAAAACTCAATGTCTGCGAGGATGTTCGTTTAGTTGTTCGTTCGTTATAGAAACGCCAGCCATTGAACCGATTGAGCTGAAACTTCGCACACATATGTTTTCGATCCCGGCGGTGGTTTATGGCTACTTTTTAAGGCGATTCGCAGGGTTTTTCCATTGATTTATTGATTTGTTTACTTAAATCTGGGAGAATGAATTCCAATAAACATGTAAGTAGGGGTAGTAAAGTTCATTCTGATCTCAAGGTCGACAGGAGGCAGCGGGTTCGTCTCAAAGCGTTTTTTGCGCATTGTAGAAGTTAGAAAGTGTAATTATGATCAGCTTCCAGATTCGTGTGGAGGCGGGCTGCGGACTTTACTGGTTTTAAGGAAAGCTCAACGAGAAAGTACGAAATAAGTGCTAAAGGAGGTTTAACAAGTTTGTCCTGAAAGTTAAGGAGTTGCGCAACCCTCCTCTACACGAATCTGGGACCCTGACACTGACAAATCGGAATCTGACATTTTGGTGGGTAGGGAAACGAACTCCGACAGTTTGAGCCTGTCTTTGCTGGCAACTGGTCCTCTTGAAGTATTGTTGTTTGTGGTTGCATGACCAGTAGTCCGCGGAGATGTTTCAAACTGGCGGATTTCGTTCCCCTACCCCATCTTGGTTGAAAAAAAAGTCTCGGGCGAGACCGGGTCATCAGCTTGTGACCTATAAAAACCAAAACTTTTTGATCGTGTGCCAATTAGAAGGTTTTATCAAGCCACCATCTGAGCGACATCTTGTAATTTTCTTGGACATGAATTTTAACCCATGTTGCCACTCAACGGAAGCAGCTCCTAGTTGAGTGCTGAGCCATCATAAAACAAACCTTGAACCATAGAAATTTGAGGGTTCGCTACCGACGAGCCCTTTAGAGCGTCCACTTAACGCGGTCACGCTACTAGCTGATCCTTTAGCAAACGCGGATCTAAGTTCATAAGTTGAGCTGCGAAACATGAAACACATAGAGCACTATTCAAGCTAATGTATTAGGACCGAGAAGATAGACATGGGAGGACCACAACTTTCCTGCTACCGATGACTTTCAAGGCTCACCCCACATGCCTGTTCTCGAATCTCCCACCAAGGCCCTCAGGAAAGATGCAACGATGCTTCAACCACACTTTCACCCACTACTCCAAAGAGCTTTCTTGCGCTATCGTGCGTCTAGCCCGAAAACCTTCGTACTGTATCACCGCTTATGCAAAATCCAGCTGAGCTGCTGGAGACAAACCCAAGCACAGTAAGCAACGATAAAAATGACAATCAAAAGGACAAATGCCGAACAGTGCGGCTATACCTCAGCTTGGCCGCGTTTCCAACCCAAGTGGTCTGGCAACGAATATAAAGTAGCGCGGCACCGTGGTAGCATACAGCGCTCCCTGCAGATCTTTTTCTAGGGCTGCTCGCATCGCAGAGTTGTGACAGCTATAAGCAAGGCTAGAAAGTGCAGGATCAGTACTCTATTAGGTTGTCGAGAAAATAATGTCGTTTCTTTTCGGGTTTTTTCGTGTAAAATCAATATTACTTGAGAACCAGAGCATATCCAAGGCCAAAATTTTATGGTTAAAGGTAGGAAGCTTTGTAGTATACAAAGGCATATGTGGGAGGGGCCCAGTACTACTGGGAGCGGAGTCTGCCATTTTCCAATTTTCAATTTTTTCTTGGTTTCTAAGCATGGAAAAATTATAGCAAGTGTACCTATGGATAAACGCATGTGTCCTTTACAAGCAGGAGCAAGTAAGAAATTCGCAGGCTTTACTAGGGCGAAAATCCAATTTTTGGAACCACGAGTTGCTCTTATGTTTTGGCTCTGAACTTTGCGTAACCAACAAGTTCTGCCAATGTTCGGATGTCATCTTGTAGAGTTTCCTTTGCTCTATCGAATGGTACCCCTCGCATAGTTTTTTGGATTTGTCTTATGGCTTTGCTATGAAAAACGACATTATTTTCTTGACGACCTAATATTATTCAGTTACGAATGGGACATATTGTGCGGTTCATAATTATGTGTTTCTAGCTATATGAACACCGTATAAAGTGTAGTTTATGTGCTTCTCAAAATGGTAAGCCATGAATAATCACAACAATGAGATCATATTTAACCTTTCCTACAGTTTGTTTTGTCTTTCTATCAAGTCAATCTTCGAGGAAATATTGAGTTAAAAGTAAATGAGAGTGCATAAAGAAACCTCAGTCTACGCTCGTTATCTATGCGATGCTTTCTTGATTGGTCTACACGCTCGATCCAATTATCATGGTAAATTTTTGGGGTATTTTGGTCCGAGGCCTATCACAATACTTGTCACTTATGAAGCGTAGATGTAGTAAAAACAGCCATTTTGGACATCTGGCGGAAAATCTTGCTTGATGACATCCCGAACCAGGTGCAGTCGATCTCATAACCCGTTCTGGTGGTCTGACATATTTGAGTTGCCTTGCTCTGCTGTTTAGTTCTGTTGTTGTTATTATTTATTGTCGATAGAAAGCATCATTCAAAGTGTTCATATATTTATGTACCGCTAGGAATTCAAACTGCTCAAAATGATTTCTACAATTGAAACCGAGTCTCGTTTAAGCCGCATATGCCGTCAACGGCTGCGCTCTTTTCCGTGGCATTAAGAGTTTCTCGATATTTCTCCAGGGGCCTCGCAATCCTCAGAATAAGAGGCGTTTGTGCAGTTATGAACCGCACTGTATCGGCGCTTGGACAATGACATTGGGACTTCGCGACCAGTTTATTTATTTATTTATTTATTTATTTATTATTTGTTTATTTATTTGTTTATTTATTTATTCTTACACCCAAGGGTGCGCCAAAACGAAAAAATCTAAAAACAATAGCCATAGAATATCTGCCACACAATAGGTTAGCAATAGAGTCATAATACCTAGAGTTAGCAATAGAGTCAGTAATACCTCACCCATCCCCACTATGGAGTAGAGTAGAAGTGATAGCGAAATCAGGTAATCCTGTAATTTCAGTCCCTATAGGCCCGTTAGGTGAATGTTAGGTTATCCACCAACCTAACAATTTACTACTGGAATCACATGAGAAGATATAATAGATAGGGAACAGGGACGATGCAGCCTTCAGTGAGTAGACTTCAGAACTCGGTTGTTCAAGCAGGGATGGGTTAAGTTGCTCAGGAAAAGTAGCAGTTAGCAACAAAAACAAGAATTTTAACCGACATAATATGACTACACAACCGCGGTAGCCGACTATTGGCAGCCGACTATTGGCACTATTGAAAGGGATGAGCAACCTGAAAAGTAAAAGATGAGCAACTAATAGCTGTTAGTAGGAATGAAGAAAAGGAAAAATCAGAAAGCCAACGTGATAATAACTTGCAAGTTGCAACATCCGAAACTAAGGAGCCATCTGCATTGAATAGGTAACCTGAATTAGCGAACCAATTAATGACGAAACAAAACAGAAAATGCATTAACAAAGATAAGGACCAACGTTTAAAACCTTAGTAAGATCAATTTTTTGCAATCTCTTTTTGAACGAACCCATTTTTGGCAGATAATATTTTGACAGGCAAACGGTTGAACCACCGTGCGCAGCGGTAAAATAGCGAGTTGAAAAGGATAAGATAGTTCGACTTTTTCAATCTTAAATAAAGGAGATTGAATCCTCCTATCCTACAGCTAATTGGCCTAAAAATCCAGAAATTGCTGACCCTCAAGTCGAACTCTTTCTGTAGTATTCTAAATCAAAATACCAGTTTGCTGAAACCCAAGCATAGATTTGCGATTCTACATAATGATGTTTTCAGTTTTTCGCCTTTGGTGCTATGTGTGCGTACGGATTCGATTGTTACCTGAAATTTCTTGCATGGAAGAATAATGAGGTATGACATGTATACATTTTTTTTACATAACAGCTGTCTCTTAATTAAACAGCAAGTTGTATTGGGCAAATGCTGTCCCTTTTGAAATGAAAAGGACAGAAAAAACATGACCATTATTCCTATAGATGTTGTTCTTTAGCTGTTTAATACATATATCTTACAGGCTGCTACTGGAAGCGGCAGAGATTTTATTGCAGAAACACGACGGCGTGCTCAACATGTGTAAATAAAGATACTGCTTTTATTGATAAAATTTTATGATGTTTTGTGCGGAAAACTGCAACGTGAAGGACGCAAAGATTACAATAACTGCCCTTTGTCGCCGACTGGGTTTCACAACTCCAGCGTCAGCGGAGAAGAGCTCTCCAGCAATGACGGTAAAAGCGAGGACCCCTCCGAGAAATCAGGTAGCGCACTTGGGGATAGCTAGCGTGCTTGCGCCGTGATTTACGGCCTGCTGTAATAGAGATACACTAAACAAGTTAGGGGCTTTAGGCTACCAACATACTTCTAATCTAACTGCCAGTTGCCTCAAGCTGAAACTAACATTTTTGACAAATGTGGTACATCATCGACTTGGGCACTAAGCTGGTACATATCGTGCCTTGGCTGCCCCCCCCCCCACTGGAAAGCTAGTATCGTGCCTATCAGCCTTAGCCGAGGCTGACTGGATCAAGTTTATTAGGAACACATTCAGCACATAGGTGTAACTAGCGACCCTACGGGTCGCTAGTAATTGGGTCGGGGCAGATACAAGATTAGGTTTAGTTGTGACTAAAAATATCTCCACATAAATTTCCTACCTTCCTGCAAACTTTTTGTGAAGAAGCATATCAAAAGGAAAACCGCTTGAGGAGCGATAAACTTCACAAATAATCCAGCATTTTTCGTAAGCTCTGCTATAACCATAGGAGATTAAGGGAAATTTTTTTCGTAAGGTCAAGGGAAAATGATTACCACGTTTTTTTTTGCAAATCCCCCCCCCCCTCTCACGGAGACTCATTTGGATAATGAGATTCCACCCTCCTACCTTCTCGAAAAAAATTGCTTCGTCGTGTTTTTCTCTACAAATTTTATGGGTCGTTAGAAAATTATTAGAATACTAGCTGGCTTACCCGGCTCCGCCGTATGTTCCGAATAGAAAATTCCATTTCTTAACCGATCGGGACCAAACTTGGCACACATACACTTCGGGTCCCGGCGGGTGTCACAGTCCACTTTTAGTTATCGATTGATGTCGATTTTATCGATTTTTTGCAAAATTTGAGCTAGGGGGCTGGGATTTGGCACAGGGGGGTAATCATGCCCCCGTGGGGGTGATCAGCATGCTCGATTACCCCCCTGTGCCAACTCCCAGCCCCGTAGCTCAAATTTTGCAAAAAATCGATAAAAATCGATATCGATCGATGACGAAAATTTAGCCTATGACACCCGCCGGGGCCCGAAGTGAATGTGTGCTAAGTTTGGTCCCGATCGGTTCAGAAATGGAATTTTCTATTCGGAACATACGTACATACAGACATACATACAGACATACAGACATACAGATATACATACAAACAGACATTCAACTTTATATATAAGATACATCGTTTTAAAAGTAGAAGAACGTCCATAACAATGATGTATACTATAATGAAAATAGCTTTTCTTTCAAAATCAATTTTGACGGCAACAAAATCAGTTCTTTCAGAACTTGTCAAAAAATCCTCCAAGTTAGGATTTCTTCAAAATTGAAAAATATGAACCATAACTATTGAATTCTCTTGCGCTATTCTATCATTATATTTCAGGACTAGGCAGATATAATCAACTTTTTTAGGCGATCCTCAAATTGCCCTACGTTCCACCTAAGGACCGTTAAATATAGGAACTGCCTCAAACGTACAGAAATCTAATTTCCTGCCATCAAAATGCCCTGCGTGCCACTTACAGAGACCGATGTCTATCTAAAAGAAAGTGTTCTACATGCCACTTAAAGACCGTAATCATAAAAAACTAGTTTACGAAAAAAAAACAATGAAACTGAGCATTTATTCACAACGTACTCTCAAATTGCCCTACCTGTCACCTGAGGACCGTCAGTCATAAAAACCCGCCCAATAGTATAAAAATCTGTTTCTCTGCCTTATCGAATTGCCCTACTTGTCGCTTACAGATCGATATCATCTATTTGAAAGAAAGATTATGCCCTCTGCGCCGCTTAAAAGTTGTATTTATTAGGTCGTTCCAAAAGTAATGTCGCTTTTTTCAAGCGGGCGCCACATTTGATAAAACAAAGATTTCTAAGATGTCTTGGAGGCATTCGATGCAGCATTTCATTCTCTTTCTAACGGTCCTAGTTTCATTGCATCATACTCAATGAGCTTTTGAAAAATTATCAAAATCTGCGATCCATGCTTTTTGAGAAGGCCAAGTTTCAAAATTTTTCTAAATTTTTAGAACAACTTCCGAAAGGAGTCCAAGTTATGGATGGATAGAGCAAACCCTACAGGAAACAACACAACATTTTTCTACTTTCCAGAGTTCGTCATAGTTTCGATTTTTTGATGGAACTACAGAGTTTCAGCAGGCTCGTCTCAGACACAAATGCATCAAACACCAATAAATCTTTGATTTTGAAACTTACAAAGATGGATTATTGTTTGACACTAATTTTACAAGCCAGATGAGCATTAGCCGCTTCAGATTAGCAATTCGAAAATTCCGGGTCCTGCCTGGGGCGCCTTTATCCCGGAAAACTTGATGAATCGGAAACAAAAAAAACTGGTAGAAAGAGGAGAAAAAGCTGAGTCGAATGACACCTGGGCTGCTTGTCGGTTGTTGTTCTGTGAGGTTTGAGTTGACCAAATATGGAATTTTATGGAATTTGAAAAATTGACTTCAGAAACTCAATGATGCAAGCTAAGGAAAAGAAAAAATTACTCTGTGTCGTATAAGGTTTGCTCTATCTACCTGTCACTTGCTCTTTTTCTGAAAATAGGTACAAAAATTTAGAAAATTAGCCGAACCTGACTATGGCAAAAAGCATGAGTCGCAGGTTTTGGTAATTTTTCGAGTGCTCATTGAATATTATGCAACGAAATTACAAACATTAGAAAGGGAATGAAATGCTGCATCGAACGTTCTCAGGATCTCTCAAAAATCTTGATTCCGCGAAATGTGGCCTTCGTTTGAAAAAAGCGACATTACTTTTGGAACGACCTAATATAAGAAAAACCAACCTTACTCTCCTACAAAAAAAAACAACGAAATCAAGTGAGTGAGTCACAACGTAATATCAAATTGCCTACGTCACTTAAGGTTCAATTATATGATTTGCCCCAAACGCACAAAAATCTGTTTCTCTGCCCGGTCAAGTTGCCCTACGTGCTGCTTACACACCTACATCTATTCGAAAGCACCAACGGGAAGCAGTTACACAAGCAAAAAAAAAGGCTGACCAAAGATAAATGCTTCCAAAAGCACCAGCAAAACGTTATTCCGCGCTCTTCTGTCTGAAAGCAGAAGAAAGTTCATCCCAATTGAACCGTTTTCGGAGTGCTTTCAAGAGTTTTACGAGAACATATATAAATTTAGCTGTATGTTGTTACGCGATTTGACCATCACATTCTGGGATAGCAAACATGAAAAAAAAGTTTGTACAAGTAACACACTCGGACACTGAAGACCCGATCCCAAAGTCACTGCAACTCTCACCACCCAGGATTGAATTTCGAAGTGGTGTGACCCTTTTACAAAAACATGTTTCGGTCGTTCGTTGTGAAATTTGGCAGTATTTCAAAACGCATGTATTGTCAGCAATCCAATCCAAAGTCAAAGTTCAGTATATTTCATCATAATTTCCCCGTCTGCTGTCTCCTCGTTTGTCGCGTTCCACGGATCAGGGGTGGCCAAGTGGTAAACACGAAATCGTTATATGTTACGTAGTGTGGAGCAAAGGCCTAAGCCTGTCACCTACCACTGTCATCAAAACACTATAGTTAAAGGTGCCCACCGTTTATTCCAAATGCAAACCCACCCAAAACAACTCTGTACAATGGGTGGAATACTCATCGGAAACGATGTTACCTAGGGGTCAGTAATGGCAAGCAAAGGCGCGCCACAGGTCACCTCCATGTGTCTAGCCATTCTCCAAGAGTTCAGTGCTGAAGTTCACGGAGAGAGATGCGCTGCTCGATCGATTGATAGTTGAGGTTGAAGGTGAGACTGACCGCTCGCTAATAGACAGGTCAGGAAGATTGACTTTTGAGAGCGGTATTTATATGCGGAGCGAGAGGCTGGGCAGCTTAGCGTTTTGGGACTCTCCGCGCTGAAGCAGCGGACATTCGTGAAAAAATCGAACAATCAGCGACACTATCGTTTATGTAGATCATGCAGCAAGTATATATCGTCAAGTCATTTGTAACTAAATATGCGTAGTGCACCCTATACACGCTAACTGACAACTGCAAAACTAGAACCTGCTCATTTCCAGTGACTTCTCCTTGTTTCCTTGTTTCTTTTGTTTTAGTTGGTTGTATGTTAGTCAGTAGAACACACTTCTACATTTTGTTGGGCTAGAAAATGTTTATTGAAAAGTTACTAGTATGAGTGCCGTCGCCAATAAGGCTTAGAGTGCAATCTCACATATTAAGTTATACATGACTCGAGTTAAGTCATGCAAATTTAGGTCATAAATAGCTTGTATGGAAAGACGTTGCTTAGCGAGTGTAACTACTCAATATGCTGAATTTGGACACTTATCAAAAAAAGCAAGCTTCACTTTGAGTCTTCTTAATTGACGACTGAGCATTTTAGGTGAGGCTCCTAGTTTCTCGCACATTTGGCGGCGTGTATGCACATAAAGATTTCTGTTTCGCTCTCCTCTCGTATGAACCATGCAATATATACTTGGGGAGCTCCCTTTCAGAAGACATTATAATGTTGGGTGTTTTTTGCCTGAGTTCATCCTTGAATAGTCTCGGAGCTTATAGAAAGTGAATATGCTAAACGAGGGT